AGTGCAGTGCTTGACTCGACTGCACAGTCTGGTCAGAGCATGTGGGAACTAGAGTCTTGGAGTGCGAGTGTGCAGGTTGCAAATATACCATTTGGATATAGAGCCTCACCCCTGTGATGCAATCCTGTTCTTTGGCTGGTGCAGTCACTCGCACACGCTGTTCTTGTTTCCATGCATTCTTTCACTTGTAGTGGTTTGAGCGATGCTGCAGCAGTATGATCATATGATTGCTTTTGCTTTTCCCATGCCTTCACCAAGTACGTGTGTTTGTTTGGCTTGTTGTGGTTTTGGCTAGGGGAGTGCAGTGAGGTATGTGAGATTTGCAGTTGAAGTACATACTGTATATGTCAGCGCCTTTAAAGCCATGGCCTTATATTCAAAACACCGCTGCTTTCCTAGCTATTTTAGATGCAAAATGACTCGCCCGCTACGCCATGCTGTGAAAGTCAAAGTACACACTGAAATTTCACTTGTTCACCCTTTCTGCTGGGCTGGAAGTTTGAAGCTATGGCTTTATAACTGAGACCGGCTTTATAATCGAATTTACCGCCATGGCTTTAAAGGTGCGGACATACGCGGTAATGTGCTGGTGTGCTGAATTGCCTGTAGAAAAAGGTTTAATTAATATAGTTGTAGGTGTAACTTTCGAGTCTGACATACAATTGATAATACAATCAGTAGTGGCAAGAGTTATGAACTCTTGGTACAGTAGTGGCTAGCTGGACAGATTCATTCAGAGGACATGCGAAGGTTGAGATGCAAATTGAGGAACATACCGGTATTCACCTTTTTCCAGGAATAAGACCTGCATGCAAATTGTTATGGGGTGGCTGTAACCATGGTAACACACTTTTGAAGTACAAGTAGTACGGCGACAAGTCCAGCAACATTCTTGCGAATCCCACCAGTGAAAGCAATGCTTGGGGCTATCTGGATGCATTCATGTGTGTATGTGTCAACCAGGGAGTAGTACAATACTATCTATAGATTATCACTCCCTGGTGTCAACTGCGAACGACGTCCTGCCTGGCCTAAGCGGCATGAATTGATTGCCGTTGGCCAGGCAAAGCACTGTCAGTTCTGTCACGCCAGGCATGTCGTCAGCCAAACTTTCGTTCTTCATGCTATGCAGCAAGAGTTTCAACATGTCACGTGCTGCGCTGCTCGATGAAAAGTGATGGGTATCCGGATGCCTACACGCAATTATTCCATGGTACACCACCAACAGCCAAAGACAAAATGGAGCCCGGCGATGTGGGGACCTTGGCACAAGGGAGTTTTACGACTCCCCGCTTGGTACAGATAGGGCCGGCGACAATATGCAGGGCCAGGAGTACAGGCTGATTTTGCAAAGCAAAGACGGGAAAGTGAACCGCGACAGCTAGCACAGGGTGCCGTAGGCGTCGGAAGAGCAGTGTACAGTCACCGATAGTCATCAACGGAGATCACCACAAACTCCAGCATAAAAATCAAATCACTTGTATTTACAGCAGGGCACGAAGCAATGGCAACGGCCGGTGGATGTGGGCATTCCACAATCTCGCCACCCATACCGGCGATAGCAGCGAATAATAATGAAACAAACACGGACGGGAGAAGAAAAATATTCATGATGAGTAAATGATAAGTTCTAGGAAACTCTTAGATATCGTAATTATTCCATGTGCAGCTGTCCTCCCAGCCGGGGTATCATCAGTCTGTCTGTGAGTAGACTTCTAGTGAGTGCTGTTGTCTTGGTATGCATAAACAACGTGAATAACAACAGAAGTAAAAGATGAGCACGATGGGACGACGGAAAACAGCCAGGAATGCACCAGGCAGAATATACAAAAACTGCGGGTCCAAAAAAAGTAAAAGAGATTAGAGATAAGTGTGCACATGTTTTCAATTACCACGCATGTGCTAGTGCGTGTGTGGGGGGGGGGGGCATGCGGAAGTGTGAAGGAGAGAGAGAGAGAGAGAGCGAGAGAGAGAACGAGAGAGAGAGGGGGGGGGGGGAGGAGAAGGAGGAGGAGAAAGAAGCCACATAAAAGGGACACACCACAAAACCAAGGCATCGACAAGCAGCAGCAGGACTAGTAAGGAGTGTAGGGGCATCAAGGCGTAGGCCCACATAGTCTCCCCGTGGTGCAAGTCGAACACAGAATGGACGAGTGCAGCACAGAAGCGCGGCACTCCTGGAGGTGTGTCAGTAGCCTGAGAGAAAGCACCCAGCAGCGGTGGATAGGCCTGTTGTACCCGCAGCGCCTTAACTAGCAACATCCACCACCACCAGCATTGGCACCGCCACCGGCAGCCTGTCCACCACCCTGGCTGGCAGGTGTGTGCTGGGGTCCAAGTTTGATGCCATTCGCCTGTAACAACACCAACAAATAGAGTACACACGAATGCGGGACGTGGATATACTATCAATGTAGTGAGTATAGAGTGACCATGCATGTCAAAAAAGTGCAAATCCAGAGTCACGCAAGGTCAGAAGAGAGAAGAAGCTCCAAAAGCCTGTGACTACTGCTGCACTGGTGCATCATTGCTGAGTTTGCTAGCGCCTGGCAAGGATATACTGCAGCAGTAACATACGATTTCAGTCCCCATGCAATGATGTACAGGGAAGTGGGACTGCACCGAACGAAACCTGATAATCTCCACCACCGCTCGCACCACATAACCATACCATTAGGATGCAGTTGTTCTATTGTACCACATAATGCAATCAACACATTTGCTCAAGACCGGATGGAAAGACTCCGCGCTGTGACCACATGCTGCTACAAAGATGCAACTTTTGAAAGAAGCAACAGGCACACATACCTCGTTGTTAACATCAAATACTCCCTCCTTGATTTTCTCGTATATCACCTTAGCTGTGTCAATGAATGCCTGCACAAAGAAGAGCACAAGACGCAAGAAGATAGATACCCATCTCAGCAAGGCAGTAGTTTGCCAGGGTGCATACCAATTTCCTCAAAAACACACATACACGCAACCAGTACATAGCAGTGATAGCGGAACACTCCAAATCACCCAAGGCCTTGGACTTTCATGGGTGTTCCAGTGTCAAAGGAAAGAACATGAAATGCATGCAACATAAACTGGCTCATCCCCGATCTCAGCTTTACCAAGCTTCCAGGGGTTGGATTTTACCTGGCACGAAAGACTATTTAAGTACTAGCAGACGCACACCTCAGTTATCCGGACCCCGAAGTTACTGGCACTTCAGTCTACCGGGCACCCTTTGGGCGAGTTTCAGTGGAAATATTACTACTCTTTTGTCACTTTGTGTGGAAATAGTGTCGTCATAATTATGCCATATCTACGGCCTTTCCCCATCGAAATGTACGTGATTTGGAGTTATGGACGTTTCAAAGTTACGGCCAGTGGCTGTTGCCGGACCACCCGGATAAACGAGGTAGGAGTGTACATGTATTATGACTACGTTCTGGCCAGTCAATATGTTTCCGTTTATTGAGGGAGCTCAGAGATAAACCAGACCTGCAAAAAGGCACCGAGCACGCACAGCCTATTCTCAATGGATCACCATACTCTCATTTGCATACGGGAAAAGCGGGGCATCACAAAAAAAGTTGACCTCGAGCTCAGCTTGTTTTGCCCAGAATGAGAACGGATCGGAACAGGTAGACTTGGCACGTAGCGGTGAGAAAGCGAAGTTCTACAAGGGTCTGCAGAATTACGCTCGGTTGATGGCAGCCGCAACGCACATTTCTAGGCAAACTCGGCAGCAACACGGTCGATTGTTCCCAATTATCAATGACGAATGAAGCTGAGACTAGGTTCTGACAAGCAGAGCCTGGCCTACAAGTTCAGTGTTAACCAGTCAACTATTTTGCACAACTTTGATGAAAGTGGATCAACATCCTACATAATCAACTTGGCCCCCCTATCGTCTGGCCTGAACGAGAGCAACTGGAGAAGACTTTGCCAGTAGAGATCAAGAGGAACTTCCCAAAATGTATACGTATGCATTTGGAGTACGAGTACACCTTGTATATTCGTGTAGTAGACCCGGCTTGAATCGGACCATAGGACTTTTTCCTGGTCGAGGGCCTTCAATAGATAAGTTTCTGAAACTTTCAACAAATTTCTGCATATCAAAGAAATGAATTTTGAAAATTTTGACCCTAAGGGCTGTTTTCGCCCCATGTTATTTTCATTTTACTTCACCATAGACTGGCATAGAGACAATATAACATAGTAGCTGAGCCAGTGGTGGTTGATTCGAAAGATACAGCATCGTGTAGTTACTAGTAACTCAAGAATCAAAATACTCAAGTGTGAGTGAAATAACGTTAGAACGTAGCTGATGCTGTAGGATTATGGATACTACAGTGCTGCTCAATGAAATCTGATCGCGTTAGTCAAGCCCGGGCGCTGTGCAACCCTAGACCTGCGAACACCGGAAATGCTCACTGGTGCAGGGCGCAAACTTGACTCACTCGATCGGATATCCTTGAACAGCACTGTAGTACAATGTTTGTTTCCGTTAGAAATTTAGAAGTGCCAATAAGTGACTTGACACTGATCGATTCGCTCGGATGTGATAAATGATGGCCATGGGGCAGTTTTACAGAATATTCGTGCCGCCATACTCTTTTCAATGCTACGGTATAATATACCGTTTATTACGTTGCCATCAGTAAAAAACGAGAAAAGTAAAACAGGAGAAAGCACCAACAGGTGCACGGATAAGCACCAAGTGGGACTTAGTAGACATAGTTCTCACCTCTTCTACGTTAGCAGCTGTTTTTGCAGATGTCTCCATGAATACAAGGCCATGCTCTGCGGCAAAAGCTTCACCCTACCAACAAGACAATGAGAACAACCCCAATCGAATAAGATCTCTTGCAAAAGATGAGAGGGAAGCATACCGCGCACTGGCGTTGAAACCATGAGCGTGAATGTTGTATCTGCTATGGTAATGAATATAGTCGCATTACTGATTTGTCTGTTTTTTCATGCATGTGCATATAAGTGTGTGCACAAGCGTACATAGCAAGAAAGTGAAGACATAGTATCAGATTGCTTCGCACCCACTGCCTTCCCATGCATTGACCACTTTCCATAACAAAAACAACACAACAAACCACGGCCACGTACTTCCTCCTTCTTCACTTCTCTGCGGGCTTCCAAATCACTGGACAATAGCAGAGCATACAGGAGACATCCAGACGATCAATCGCCGGCATACATTCTCCAGGCCAAAACAACACGTTCAGGGCACAAGAGTACGCAAAAGACTGTTCACAGCACGCACTGTACATTGGAGGTCTGGAATGGTGACTCACAGACAAAGCCCAAGTTACATGATTGCACACGTATTCACACCAGTGTCGTAATGACAGTAATGGCAGTAGGAGGGCGAGGGTCTACCAGCCTACCTCTTGTTTCCGATCAGCATGATAACCATGTTTGAAGAAGAGTGCTGACGTGCATCCTCGAGCCACGTTGTCAGGTGGTTGAATGTGTCTCTCCTGAAGTAAAGTGGTCAGAACACAGCACACGGTGCAACATCATTAAGACACGGTCCTGCATCTGTGCGAGTTATATGACCTTGGCACTCACATTCGGCCAAGCATGCTGTAGTCATGTGTGCTGGGCCAGAGCAACCTGGTCCGTGGGATCCAATATTCTGAAACTGAATAACAATAATCCAAGACATTCAGCTCAATGCCTACAGGAACACCTGCCAAGGCAATCACCTGGACAGGCTGCGAGATATACCCCTGATCTGTTCTGTGCTCAATGGACATTCATACACTGGTTATTTACCCTGGCTGAATGCAGCACAAAGCACACAAACGCAAGGACAGGCCACACCAGGCAAGATTCTCACCGTGTGATGTCATACACCAGTAATGCTCCGGCAGCTCCTCTGTAGTAAGAACGTGTGATCGATCTGAATGATTCCTGACCAGCCTACACATTTCAATAAAACAATAAAACACGAGTACAGTAAGGGCGGGTAAGTTATAACTTATTCTTGGGAATGCAGATGGGATACCGGAACAATCAGACAAGAAATCACAGCCATTACAAAATCCAAGGGACGACCAACACACCATGCACCCGGGTAAAGGATTTCAGCGTGCAGCCGTCAAAGTTTCGACACACCAGAGCTCTACTGGAATGCAAACACAAGTACTGAGTTTCAAAGCAAGAGCTCAAGTGCCATGCACATGCACTTCCAAATGATCCGTGCGATCTTTTCTTGGCGAACCACAAACAAAGCAGCAGTTCAAAACTTCAAAAGTGTGCGGATGCGCCTGCGTTGGAGTTGGCTTCGCATTCATCTCTTACTGGTACAAATGGCAGAAGCCTGAAGGCGGTCAGTAAATGGACAACACAGTACTTACTGTATCCCAAATTTGAAGTTTGATTTGTTTATTATCAATAGTAATCATACGAGCACCAAACTCCACACCTGTCAAGGAAAGCAAACACAGAACAAAACAAATAAAGAACAAGAACTTTGCTGTGCATTCAGGGAAGTGGAATCATGTGAAGACCCCATCAGCATCATAAACAGCAGAGAAATGGAGGTTGACACACACCGGGCGAAATGGCAGTATATACCTGCATGCCCACACAGCGCTTTCGAAGCTGCGAAATTCTGGCAAAGACCGCTCTTTCTCTCCACACCATCATCTGTTTGCGCATTTTCGACTACTAGTAGTCGATGGATGCATGGCTGGTGATATCCACACAGCTGGCTGGTACACCAGTTAGCGTCTGACGCATCACAATCTGAGCCAAGTCGTCTCTGTGTCATCACCTATGTGCCAGGTGCTAACTGATGTACCAGCCAGCGACGTGGATATCACCAGCCATGCATCGACTTGGCGCCATGCGCAAACAGATGGCGGTGAGAGAAGGAGAGCTCTTTGTCAGGATTTTGAAGCTTAGAGAGCGCTGCGTGGGCACTGGGCAGGCGTGTATTTACTGCCATTTAGCCAGGTGTGTTTTAGCCAACATTTCTCTCCTATTCGGGGAGGTAGACCAAACTATTTCGAACAAGATTTTTCAGTATTAAAGCTGTGAGAATTTTTTATAACATCTTTTGAGGAGTGGATAGCACCAATTTACTGTAAACAATGTAGTGCAGCAAGCACCACAACAGTGATAAAGCACCAGTTGGTTGCATCTACAGCATGCACACATGCTTCGAGTCACTTCACCGGCGCCCAGAAGAGGTTACATTACGTACCGCATACATGCTAGTACCCGCCGTCATTTTAGGCACAGTAGAGTGCTGATTATCCGCACCCCTCGGGGCACAGGCTGTCTCCAGGAAGTCTGGATGGGAAGAATGTTCGGATTATAGGCGATTCAGACTACGGCCAAGATCACGTCCGAACTTGAATTTCCATGGTGATGCAGTCGTGTTTCAAATTATTATGCACAATCTCTGATCAAACACGTCTGAGTCGTAGAAACGTGGTCACAGTTGGCCGTAGTCTGAATCGCCTATAAGGGAGCAGTCACACATCTACTAAAACATGCATATTCTCTTCGGCAGTACAACAGGAACTCGGCGCACTCCAGCTCCACAAAATGACACTACCGTTGTACATTTTGACTCCAACCTGTTGTAATACATCTTGTGCATCGCTTGAATGGTACTCCAAGTAGGGAAAATCAGCAAAAAAACCTCAAAAAAGCTGCTAGTTTTATTGATTGTCCAGCCCAACCAGGTGATCCAGATAGTCGACGTCTGGATAATCGGCGTTCTACTGTGCGTTGCAACACTGAGCTATACTGCTACCATACAGTTTACTGCAGGGCTTTGCAAGCACCTCTGGACGCATTAGGGCTTTGCAAGCATCTCTGGGACACATTAGGGCTTTGCAAGCATCTCTGGACACATTAGGGCTTTGCAAGCATCTCTGGACACATTAGGGCTTTGCAAGCATCTCTGGACACATTAGGGCTTTGCAAGCATCTCTGGACACATTAGGGCTTTGCAAGTATCTCTGGACACATTAGGGCTTTGCAAGCATCTCTGGACACATTAGGGCTTTGCAAGCATCTCTGGACACATTGTGCATGATAGGTGTATACCATGGAGTCGTGGTATCAAGGGAAGAGAGGAAGGTGAGTGGAACATGTGGGTTTTGCTCACGAGCTGCCCATTCCAGTCGTACTTGGGGCCATGTTGAGGTCAGTTGATTATTCAATGCCCAATGTACGTATATTTAGACATTTCGGTGAACATTCTGCAATCCGATCATGTACAGATGTTATTATTTTTGTGGGACAAATTGACACCTTTGCATGGACGTCAGAAAACCTGCATAGGAGTAGGTGAAAGTAGCCCATTCTAACCGTTGGGGTCATATGGGTGTACAGTATACATCTAATAAAATACGACCACAGGCTGTCACCATTTGAAACTCTTGTGTGACCCCAAGTGGTAGTGGTGTACTCTGGCCTGTGTACTTTTGCTTTACATGCATTTCATGCGACTTTCAAAATACTAGTATGTCGCTGGTGCGTGATTATAGAGTGGAGGCTTCTCACACGGTATTCGAATAATTGAACTACAAAATGAATAGAATAGAACAGAAAGTCGTGTACGCAAAACACGGAAATCGCTGAAGCAGACGAGACTTTTAGTGAGCGCACTTCTGAATGGAGCATACAGCATATCACAACGGACTGGAGTGGAATAGAAGGACGCTGGGTAGCAGCGTCCGCGTAATTCAGCGGATAACCCAAACCAACCCAAACTATTACTTGGCAAACGACACGAGCAGTTACTGAAACTCGATCATCGAATACAATAGCACTAACCAATGGTCAAGTCATGCACTGGTTGGAACCGCTTATCCGTGAACTGCAGCAGCAGGCAGGACTTGCCAACACCTAAGGCAAGAAGGGACAAAGAGATTTCGAACAGGTCAGATTGCGCATTTCCTCAAAGAAGCTTTCCAGCTTGATGAGAGACGAACCTGTGTCACCGATGATAATATACTTGAACAAGTAGGAGTACGACATTGTGCCACTTGTCTACCCAGCCGGTAGTGGGATAAACTCAAATCCACGTAGTCCGGCGAAGTTCTTCACACGACTGTTTCTAATTTGTCTAGCACTGCTTCTCTAGGTTTCTTTCTTCGGCAGCTTCCGTCGTTTGATCACAGTCAGGAGCAAGCTGAAGCTGAGAGGGTTGGTTGCTGTTGTTCGAAAGGTCGGTCCGTCTTTTTTTCCACTTGCACTTTGAATTACGTCGCCATTTTTGTGTAGATGACGATGTTTCCGCCGAATGACATCATGCACCCACACGTAAACACAAAAATTATAAAAATCTCAGGAAGTCATGATCGATCAAGTCACGTCAACAAACTAAACAGTCAGTTGTCGATGTCGAGCGCAAAGCCAGCAAAAGGCAGCGATAGCGATGCCAGCATGCACAGCACTCAGCAGCAGCTAGCCAGTCCGTGCGCCAGACCCTGTTTTGGCCCGATTTTTATTTTCTGCGCGGGAACCATACATGCAGACGTTATGCAGGGAAAGATGACGACGCCGGTCAGTAAATTGTTGGTCGATTTGCGGCCTACCTCGAGGCCAGTCGGTGAAATGAAGGCTTCCTTCTTCAAGAAATATGTTGCCAGTCGTTAGTCGGATGCCACTCGTCTTCTAATAATCGTACTTGATGCAACCAGCGCAGTTGGACGGACGGGAGGCGAGGAATTTATCGTTTTCGATTTTCACCCTATTCTGGGTTGCCATTACATTGCAGCTGGCAGCACCGCGAGGGAATTTTTTGCACAAGGGAGACTAGGTGAATTCAACTCCTCAGAGATATCGCCATGACAGGGTGAGGTTATTTTAGCCCTGAAATTGTGTACAAACCAACGGCACGAAATTATGGAAATATTTATTTTTTTGCAATAATTGCATGTTGGTTGAAAAAATGTAGCCATCTTTGTATTGTGGCATCCTGGCGGTGTATTTCGTAACTATACTGCATGACAATATTATTTATGAGAAATGGCAGCGATTGCAGCGATTGTGAACAATGTACAATCAACAGCATTGGCAAAATTGATGCAGAGCTGTATGGTACTTTAGTACAATTTGCCTGTATATTGGTATTTTACACACAATGCATGAAACAGAAGAGCAAAATTATTATTGACTTATCAATTTATAGTTAGGACATGAATATGAAACCCATGACCAATGCCAATGAACCAGGGCCTGTGCACCTGCATTCAAATATTTAAAAAATCCCTTGTGGCATACTCATGTACTCTGTGCATACACATGCTTGGGGGGCGATACTTGCTGCTTTAGGGCTGCGGAAATTGTGGTGCTATGCTGCTTGGTATGTGTGTGTGTGTGTGTCTGTGTGCGTGTGTGTCTGTGTGTGTGTGTGTGTGTGTGTGTGCGTGTGCGTCTGTGTGTGCACACTTCACTTTCCGGCTGTGTATTGATGCCTATGTAGATATCACCATGATCAACAGGGTCAAACGCTTCCAGCGGACAACAGTGGATCACCTCATTTCTCCCACTGGAGTGGTCCTAGCTTGAAGTGATGTATGACTATCAATTCTATTGACTAGCCTTGAGGCATGTACCAAACGTCAGCATGTCTGTGATATCAATACATCACACTTACATTTGAAAGCTATATGCTGGAAGGCAGTCAAGTGGGCTTTTCGTCAAACACAACCCTACCAATGAAATGAAGGCAACAGGCAGAGACCACTAATGGTAGGGCCACACAAGGTGGCTGTGCCAGTGGGGAAGACCCAGCTCAACAAGGTGTTCTTGCAAGTTTGATCGGAACAGCACCCTGGTCCAAATCCTCAATATCAGTGAATCTTACTGGTCCATGTGGCTGCTGCCTTGACTCGTGATGCCTACGATTGGATGCAAGCTGCACGAAGTATGTTGCAAAGAAGAGTACAATGGATCTTGAACTTAGCACGAGAGGCGTGCACTTCGTTGATAACAGCAGAACCTTTGCATGACTATCATAGCACTCTCCTTATTGCAATATTTAGCCAATGCTCCATCTGTTGTAGCAGCTACCACACAACTACAAGTATGCATTCATTACCTGGCTGTCTTGTATAAACTTGTGAATGCAATCACGTGATGCTTTGTGCACATATGCTCCCATACTTTAGCGGATGTGCGTGTGTGTGTGTGTGTGTGTGTGTGCATGTTATGGGTGTGTATGTTCGTGCACGTATGTACGTGTACATGTCTGTGCGTTTGCATGTACATGCAGACGTGTGTGGGTCTGTTGAAAAAAGCGCATGAACACGTGTCAATTCACGTGTGCATGTATGTACGGGTGTATGGTAAACGTATTCTTTGCTCCATGCGTCCGCCGTGAATGAAGGTACGAGACTTTATGTGTCATAGCTTGTGGCGGTTGTTCTGTAAATAGTAGCACCGTATCCTGGCCATCCGCAGATGCAATTTTTTCACTTCAATTCTGCATTGGCTCTGGTGCTGTGTTTGTAGTGTCATCCTCTCTGCATGAATTATTTATATTTCTTTCCCACCTCAGTACTGTATTTGGCTTGATATTGTTGCTGTTGTACATACAAGTATAGGCACATGCATTGATGTGCGAGGGTTTGTGTTTGGAGCTCCAGCAACCTGTTGGGGTTCGTGTTGTCTGTAAATTCGTGGTCTACGGATACAATGGTCTGGCTGGTACATCGCAGAATACTAGGACCCCTTGAACGATTCTGTCGGTCGTTCATAAGTCCACCAATTGAAGACATGTGTGTGTCAAAATGTGTCAAAAATACAGTGTTGACGAAACGGTTGGTATCACCGCTGTCGGATTTTTTGCACAAGCCAAAATTGGAGGATACACTGTTGGCTAATATCTCTTTCTAATTAAATAAGCAGGAAATAGCGAAACCCTTGTACAAACCAACGGCACGAAATTATAGCATGTTCAACCAAAATATCAGCGACATAACGAAAACGCAAGCGACGAGCGAGAACTCAACTTCTCGTTATTTGTTGTCGCCACGGACAAAACTTAGGGCAGAGAACAACTATTAGGTTGGATTTCGACAACGATCTGAGACGAAGAACTCACGGGAGACGTAAACCAAAGGACGACGAAGGTGACGCCATTGAGTATTCGTCTCGCGATATCTTGAGAAAACTGCGAAATCTGGCAAATCTGGAAAATAAAAGTGCAACTTTTAGACGACTTTTTCTGAACTGGCGCACGGACTGTAGCAGCGCAGCTGCATGCAGTGCAGCGCAGCAGGGCAGTCAACGCGCTGTCAGCGGTCTACCACTACCATACCAGGTCTACGTTGATCTGCGTGCATGCACTGCATGCAGTCAGCGCTGGGATCGCGGGAGGTTGTACGCACTGACTGGTTTGAAGATGATGAGTTTGATTTGTATGTTTTGATTTGGCACAACATACTTTTTCTTCACCCATCGATCTTGTACTTCATAGATAATTCATGTCCACTTGAAAGGGGTTGGAGAGCTGTCTTACCGTTTCCACACCAGCATAAGATATCCCTGATATCTGCTATGGACGTTCTAGAAATTTCTGTGCCCGAGTTTGAAGCACGGGCTGGCAAGGAGGAAGCGATATTTCAAGACTTGCATGTTGTTTTCAAAATAGTTGTCAGGTATGTACAAGTATACGTAACTTGTAATTCAATTCAGGAAGACAAGTGCAGTGTACTGGTGCTGGGCGTTTTTTGACATTGCCACGTTTGAATAAAATTCCAGATGCAAAGAATGTCTGCCTCCCCGCTCCAGTACAATTGTGGCTATCTTGCTGATGCAGTCGTGACTCCTTGATACAGCAGTACAAGTGTTGCAAATGCATGCATAAGTGAAATCTGGTGAAGATACCACCAGGCTTCAGCACTATGTTGGGTATGTTGCGACCTGTCCTCCATGAACTTTGTGGTAAAAAATGAGAACATCTGTGCAGAATTCTGCAGCTACACGGCCTGTTCTGCAAGTCATTCAACATTTGGCAGCAATTCAGCAAGGGAAATGAGCATGCATGTGGTTCGACTGGCCACAACTATACCAAAACATTCCCTATGAATTTAATATCAAGCCATTTGAAAATCTGGACCGTAATGTGTAAACAAAATAGTATTTTGGACAAGAAGACAGGCACAATGTTATGAATTATGACTACCGGTAACCGTCCACCAATGTACCGTATTTTCCGGGGTATAAGCCGCAATGGGGTATAAGCCGCACCCCCCTTTTTGAGGCAAAATATTGACTAAAAGTTGGTATTCGGAGTATAAGCCGCACCCACAAACCAAGATTTTTCACACTCATTGACAAATGGCCTTTCTACAAATTTATTATGGTTATGGAGCTGCATCTGCGCCTTTGATCCTAGAGGGTGGTGGCGTTCCCACGGCGGATGCGGAAAACTCGGCTTCCAGCCGAGTCTCACGCGAACCGTGAAATTTATTATTTTTTTATGGAGCTAAATACCATGTTAGATCAGATTATGAAAAATAGAGTCCCAGTATACGCGTACCGTATGGTGTAGCCCGCGCACTAAAACTAGTAAAAGTGCCGGGATAGCAACACAGGCGCGAAGCTGAGTCGAATGACATGTCACATGACGTCAGCATGCATACTGATGTATGCTAAGCATTCATTCGCGCAAGCATATTCGGTGTATAAGCCGCAGGGGCGATTTTGGTCCGATTTTTAGCGAAAAAAAGTGCGGCTTATACCCCGGAAAATACGGTAACTAGATCATGTACAGTCAGAGAGTGCGATAACAAGGCACCCACTGGCAGGGAGCACTGAGACATTGAACGGCCTGACACCTAAGTAGCTCCCCTACACATCTACGAGGCACACACCGGCAACCTTCCAACTTGAAAGGCTCATGTTAGGAAAGTTAGTAAAGGTCCCAATGAGTCGCACTCTCTGACTGTACATAATCTGGTTACATTGCTGGTGGGTTAGTCATAACACATACCGTAATGTCGCGTGCATTAGCCGGGGCTTATATGCCTATAAGCCGGTGATGGAGTCAGGCTTGTACACAAGACAGGCTTATACACGAGACAGGCTTATACACGAGACAGGCTTATATGACAAGCAACACTCAATGACCAGGCTTGTATGCGCAAACTGCTGACTTTTGGACGTCAAAACCAACATTTTCCAACGGGATTTTTTTTCTTTTTTTTCACAAGTGTACGGTACCATGCAAACATGAACATGTAAAAGGCGCGCTCACCAGTCTTGCGTAGTAGCCCGGCTTACGCACGCGACACGTGGCGCGTCTCGTGTACTGGCCCGGCTTATGCATGCGACAGGCTTGTACGCGAAAAGCTGTTGCAGATTTCATGCTTCTACACGAGACAGGCTTATGCACAAATCCGGCTTATGCACGCGACATTACGGTAGCTGTTTGTTCTTCTTATCCATAATTACACTGGCTCATCATCCAAGTTGAAAAAAGAAAATCGTAACTTAATTTTGAAATTCATGACCGGGTAAGTTTGGCCAGAGAAAACCGTTTTTTCGTCTTTTTCTGCGACATTCCACAAGATTTTATGAGTTCTGTGCAAATTTTGCTGCAAGCCCTGGAATTGCAGAAGTTCCTTGGGACAGTATGTAGGACCACTGTTTCTTTGGCAGCAGGCGTATGGAATGTGCAACCATCATCCTGGTTTCAGAGACTGCCTGCGTTGAAAATTGAAAGACCGTGATCGACCTATCCCATACCACGGGTGAGCGCTGAAGCCAGGTTTCCATAATTCCCTTCATACGCGCGAGTCTGTGCAGTCGTTGTATCCGAGTCATGTGTTCACCGCACATCCCCGCTGTAGATCTCTGAAGCGCACATGTTTTAAGAACAGTGCAGTATGCACCTGTCCTGATCCTAGTGTGGTGCAGATGACGACTGTGCTTAGTCCACACTAGGCTCTAGAGGCTAGGCGCATGTCCAGATGACTGATCATCGTAGACTATGTACAGTTTGGTTGATACGATTCGGGAGGGGGCGAGAATGAGAAGGACCTCCTGCTATGGGTTACAGAATGTGTGTGTGTGTGTGGGGGGGGGGGGGCTGATAATAGAAGTTACCACGTTCTGTAATCAAAGCAGTTAATGCCCAGCTGGCTTTAAAAAGAAAGTTTAGTACCGTTTCTGCATGATTGGGCATATGTGAGGTCTGGAACGTTCCCATCATCAATGGGATGTATTGGAGAAGGCAACAACCAGCGTTGGTTGTAGTGGTTGTGTTTACTGGGCTTCCAGTGTTGCTGCACCACAGTGATGGCCCGTGGAATTCACCTCCATGAAGATAATGGTCCTGTGTTGCGTGCAGCCACTGTTCATCCTGCCTTTATTATTGCTCGTGTAGCTGCCACTGCCACTCTTTCTCACTGCTGCCGCTGTTGATGTTGATTTTGATGTGCCGCTGATGATGATGGTGATGCCGACGGCACCTCTGTTTCTGGTGTTGGTAATGATACTGTTCTCTTTCCTTGTGCATTGCACAGGACGACTGGAAGGCATGATGGCGTGGCGGCGAGTAGCGAGAGCAGTTCCACGTTCCGGCGCTACCGCGAGTTTGACTTACTGCGGTTTTACCTGACAACCATGTACCCGGAGGTAAGTGTGAAGATGATGCACACACGCATGGCCGCCGCACACTGCATACTATTTATACTTCAATCGTGTTCCGGTGTTTGCAAACATGATGTTACATTCAGTTTACACTTTTGGGTGAGAACCTTGTTGCCGTCATTTTCTTGTGTCCGTGCATCTCGATACTCGCTTTGCCACACAAATGTTGTTTGGAACGTGTACAAGTATACATTTGCTCAGGTTAGCTTCTCAGTATTTCTCGTGTGTTTCGATTGGAAGGTGTGTTGTTGACTGTAACGGTGCGGTGTTTTATGATAATAGGATATGTTGGGTAAGTGACTTGTCGTTTGTTTTCCTGTGTGGTCGTACAGATTGTGATTCCACCCATACCGGAAAAGAAGGTGAGATCATGGCATCTTGAATGATGCAGAATGGTGTGTTCTTCTTGCTCTGGGTACTTGTGGGTATGCGTGGCAGGGACTGCAAGTAGCACACAGTGCCGAGAAGCTAGTATTTACCTCGGGATACTAGTAGGCGGGGGATTTGGTGACCACTGGTGCCTGATATTCGAAAATTCGAAATGTTTGATCGCTCGCCGCTCACTCAAACTTCACCGGAGAGACTTCGGATCTGTTCGAGGCGATAGCGGAGAGTTTTCTCTACCATTTAGACCCTTCGATTGTTGAATTTGGTCAAGATTTGGCCGAGAACCGAAAGTTTGACTGCGCACACATGCATACAAAATGCCCATGGTTCAAAATCGAACCATGGACTTCAAAGGGTTAAGTGCTGAGTTGTGGGCAAAGTCTTTGCAACCTCTTGCTTGCCAAAGAGTTTCTAAAAAAATTATTTTGATTGTTTGGTGCAGTGCTGTTTTTCTTGTTCGTGTCTTTAGTTCAGTTTTGTACATTGTACATGTAGTACCGTATGTGATTGCGGCGACTGGGCTTGATCCCGCTGGCAGCTGCGATTCTTCTCTGTCAGGAGACGATGGTGACAAGCCAAGAGTCACTGGTAGCTACTGTTGTGTTCCGTTGTGCAAATTTGAGTATGGAAAACCAAATTCACCAAAGTTCCATGACTTTCCGACCGATCGTGCTCTGAAGTCTGCTTGGCTACATGCCATTCGTCGTGATGAAGGGAAGCACTTCAAGGTGAAGCCGAAAACAACAAAAGTTTGCGGACTGCACTTCCAAGAAAGTGACTATTGTGTTGTGAGTGATCGTGCTTTGAAACGAAAACAAAAGGAGGGAAAGGGTGGCAAACCTCGACCGCGCTTGGTGCCTGGAACAGTCCCTACCGTCTTCTCGTTCCATAAATCAGTGACACAGGGCCCTTCGCGAAAACCACCAGCTAAACGGGTGTTCTTGAAGCCGGTTACAGCAGATTCCAGTTCGAGTGACGAAGATGCTCAGGCAATGGTTGTGGATGACGGTGAGGGCAGCCACCAAGACGACTCAGTGGATGAGTTGGAGAGACTCAGGCAACAAGTAGCAGAATTGAACTTGAAAAATGAGAAGCTTGACTTAGAACTGCAGTCCGCTAAGTCGTCTGGGGATGTGAGCGTGGGTCTTTGCTCCAAACTATGGAAAGAGCAAAAGATATTGGAAGAGGAGCTCAGGCAGACAAAGGAAAGCCTGGTCCTGCACAAATTTGACATCCGTAGGTTCTCTGAGAAGGCCCACACGGTGAAGCTCTACACCGGCTTCACATCATTTGACATGTTTATGGCATGTTTTCGCTATCTGGAGTCAGACGCTGCTGAGATGCGAGCTTGGAAAGGATCGAGGATGAAGTTTGATGGTGAGCGATTCGGGAGAAAGAATGGTCCATTGCCTAAACTCAGCCTGGAGATGCAATTCTTCTTTGTATGTGTCAGGTTAAGGCAAGGACTTGTGTTGGACAATCTGGCAGATCGATTCAAGGTGGACAGTTCAACCCTGTCAAGGTACTTCACGTCATGGGTGAATTTGATGTATGTGACCTTTAAAGAAATGCTGGTGTTTCCGTCTCGTCGGCATATCGACAAAGACATGCCCAAATCTTTCAAGATATTCTACCCCACTACTAGAGTCATTATTGACTGCACCGAGTTCTTCATCGAGCGGCCGTCCCGTCTGTCCACCAACAATGCAGCATTCTCCGCTTACAAAAATCACACCACGTGCAAGTCCCTCATTGGAATTACTCCTAACGGAACTATCAGCTTTGTCTCCACGTTGTATGAGGGGTCAATCTCGAACAGGGATATAGTCATTGACTCGGGCTTCATCTCACTGATGGACCATGGTGACTCAGTCATGGCGGACAAGGGCTTCAACATCCAAGACCTCCTTGCTCCAGTGCCCGGCTGAATATTCCACCATTTAACACCAAGGCACATCAAATGCTCCCCCAGGATGTTGTCGAAACGAAGTCCATCGCTGCTGTAAGAATTCATGTGGAAAGAGCCATCAACCGCATCAAGCAATATCGTCTTCTGGATGGTGTCATTGACTACAATTTATTTGATATTCCTGAGCAAGCTGTCTTCTCAGCGTGTGTTTTGTGCAATTACCAACCCACATTGGTTGCTACCTGATATGGTCTCGATGTCAATACAATTTTCACACCTTCATTCATAAATCGCCCTGTCCTGTTTAACAATGTTCATAATAATGTAAAATAAGCGAACATTTTATATTATCACAGATAACGGTGATGTTCCCAGAAACTTTATTATTTAGGTGCAGCTTAGCACTGTGCGCACTATTCTTTTTATTTGCTGCGTTGAGAGTATTGTGATTACTCTGTTCTTTCTTGTTTTGGCACCACCCCACACCCTATTATTTGATCATTATTGTATTTCGTCACCTACGGTGTTCATGGTGTTCTAAGCTGCCATTCCTTTTACTAGTTCTTCCTGTTGGCACATCCATTAAACCAGTCCCTTACCCCGCCAGTACTCAGACGTCTACTAATCGTGTTCAGTACTCCACGAGTACAAACAGTGTATTAATTTTTACGATTGAATGGAAAAACAAGAACTTTGAAAGAAGATTGTGAGTTCTCGAAGAGTGCTATGGTGAAGTAACTAGGAAAAGAAAGTTCCAAAGAAGTCCAGTGTTGACATTAAGAACAACATCACATTAGAGCAGCATGAATGGCCGGAAGGTAAGGCCACACGTTTTTATTTCTATGTTTCTCGTCACCTAAAAATCTAAAAACGTATGCGAGAGGTGGAAAAAAATAAAAAATGACCGAAAAATTAAAAAAAAGTTTATTAGACCTTTATTCACACTAAAATCCACCAATACATCATGCAAAATACCATCCACAGTTAGCAACTAGTATGTGGTAGGAGCTTCTGTCACAATCTGTGCATGTGCAGCTAGATTGCGCACAAAAATGCCGACCTCGCATCATGCGCAGGCCAGGCCACATTTAATGTACATGTGCTTGAGTGTGCTGGTCCCCACATGCACAGTCAGTGCAACACAGTTTTTTTTCTTTTTTTCCTCCAGACTCCTGAATCGTATGCGCGCGGGTGACCACAAACATAGAAATAAAAACGTGTGGCCTAACGCGAGAAATAAAATTTCTCCAGTTGGGGCAGAAACTCCTTCACAAGGGAATGATCAGCAGCGACAGTTTCCACAAACAGACCATAATTATGACAAAGTCGGCAGCCTCCACACCGCAAACATACATCTGCGTTTGAACTTGGTAGTACAGTAAAACCTGTGACTACCGACCACCCCTTGGTGCCAGCAAAAGCGGTCTTTAGTAGCAGGTGGTCTTTAGTTAGAGGTTTGCACCGTGCGACCATATATGGATCCCATTAAAAAATAAATAAATTTCACGGTTCGCGTGAGACTCGGCTGGAAGCCGAGTTTTCCGCATCCGCCGTGGGAACGCCACCACCCTCTAGGATCAAAGGCGCAGATGCAGCGCCTAAACGGTGGGAGGTGAGTAGATCAGACCCACCACCAAGTGGTCAAAGACCGAAATCCCATTAGCTGCATCCATGGATCCCATTACATTATATGTATATCAAAATGCAGCTAATACAATTCCCCAAGACTTTCGCAATGCCATGCTTATTTCAGGTCAAACAACACTTGGAGAAAAAGACGGAGAGATGGAGAGAGACAGAGAGAGAGAGAAGATTAATTTTTTTGCAAACATCAGATTCAGCTCCTACTTCTGAAGCCAGGAATCAAACGTTCCCTGTGGAAGTTTCATTTTGCGCTGGGCTTCAAATTTGTTCATGCGATCAATCGTACCGACTGTCCTTGTTGCGACTTCTCGATTGCTTGAACGCGATCCTTCAGCATCAGGACCTTGCGGTGCTGCTTTGTTTCTGGATTCCTTGATGCCATCGTTGATTCTTCTGTATGACTGGGGTGACAGAGCCGCTCAGTCTTCGTTCCTTCTCCGAGTAGTAACATCGATCAGAGAGCGCTTTCGATGCGCTCTCCAAGGCAGCGCTTGAAATTCTGCCAGATGTAGTGCAGTCCACACCGACTTCACAGTCAAAATGACCTGCGTTCATTTCTTCAGCTGTGATATCGAAAGATTCTTTTCAGGACTACGGAAAATCATCAAAATTTCAAGAAGGAGCTTCGAGCAACATTTGATTTCCTACATCGCGGTCGCTAGTTACGGGTCAAAAATCGTCTTTGGGACAAGAAAAGGCGGTCGCTGGTCGCGTTCAGCAGGTAGTCGCTAGTCACAGTGCATTTTGAATGTGGGACCGTCCGTGCTTGGCGAAATGGTCGGTAGTACCAGGCTGGTCGCTAGTCACGGTGGTCTTTAGTTACAGGTTTTACTGTAGTACCAGGCTGGTCGCTAGTCAGGGTGGTCTTTAGTTACAGGTTTTACTGTAGTACCAGGCTGGTCGCTAGTCAGGGTGGTCTTTAGTTACAGGTTTTACTGTAGTACCAGGCTGGTCGCTAGTCAGGGTGGTCTTTAGTTACAGGTTTTACTGTCGTAGCACTCTGTAGTACCAGGCTGGTCGCTAGTCACGGTGGTCTTTAGTTACAGGTTTTACTGTAGTACCAGGCTGGTCGCTAGTCAGGGTGGTCTTTAGTTACAGGTTTTACTGTCGTAGCACTCTGTAGTACCAGGCTGGTCGCTAGTCACGGTGGTCTTTAGTTACAGGTTTTACTGTAGTACCAGGCTGGTCGCTAGTCACGGTGGTCTTTAGTTACAGGTTTTACTGTAGTACCAGGCTGGTCGCTAGTCACGGTGGTCTTTAGTTACAGGTTTTACTGTAGTACCAGGCTGGTCGCTAGTCACGGTGGTCTTTAGTTACAGGTTTTACTGTAGTACCAGGCTGGTCGCTAGTCAGGGTGGTCTTTAGTTACAGGTTTTACTGTAGTAGGTGTGCGTTCGCTTGAGGACCAAATTGCCATCAACATCCGTCAAGCATGAAGTCCGCCGTCCAGCAAACTCACGAAGCGACATGCCATTCCGCATGGTGAAAGGACACTTGATCTCCACCACACGCTGCAGTTTGCCATTGACCGTGGCGAGACCATCAGGCGAAGCACTAAGCCATGGCTTGGTTGGATGGATGAAAAGGCCACAGGACTCGACGACAACAGGAACATCCGAAGTCTGTGCACGTGTGATGTAGGCTTTGACAACATCACGTTCATGCGCAAAGCCGTACTTCATAGCCGCTTTAGGATGCTGCGGTGGAGCCAATTTCCTGTTGATGATGGTGGAGAAATCATCACTTCGTCGGCTTGCAATACTCTTAGCAAGTGTTGCAGTCACTCGTAGTTGCCGCTCATTGTACCAGGAGAGGTTAGTTGACTGTCCCTTCGTCGCCCTTGCAATTTCAGCTGCACGGGCACTGAGCACAGCAACACGGTGTTCATAAAAATCAGCAGGCGATTCCGGATCAATAGCGGCCATAGGCACAGGCGCCTCACAAGAAGACTCTGGTACACCCATCTGGCGCTCATTGTCTGACTCACTGCTGCTGCCCTCGTCACATTCCGAGTCATCTGAGCTTGGGACAGGAGAAGGTTCAGTTAGCTTTAGCCAACATGAGCTGCCATACATCTTGATCTTTCCCGATTTGTCCTCTGCCAGAGCCTTCTCCTCGACGCGCTCCAAGTCATTACGCAGCCTGGCAACTGCCTCAGGGTTGACGGATCTGCGGTTTGTAGGCCTGGGGTCATAACACGGGATGCTCTTTTTCTTTTCTCCGAGATCTCTGCCTGAATACGTGCCCTTCTTCAGGTGGACTTCCGTTACTCTGCTGGCCTTGACGCGTGCTGCTCGGGGCTGATTCTATTGCATTAGTTTCTCAGTACAAGCTTTGGCTGCCTCTTCATGCAGGCCAAGCCTTACAAAGTCCTCCAATGCATATAATAGGCCCGCTATGTGGTTACAGGAACCAGCTAACCCAGCAGGGCATGTGCAGTAGGCAGTGAGAACCGTAGGGACATGTGACACACCGCCAGCAGTGCAGCATATCCGAACGTTGTATTTCCTGTCCTTACGGAAAGAGGGCAGGGCGACGCAGCGTACAAAACAGAATTGTGGAAAGACAGGCAGTGAATTGAACTGGATCCTCTGGATGTGGCCTGACTTGAAGAACCTGAACCCTTTGTCTATTCCACGGAACGAGCTGTACTTGGCTGTTCCTGAATCACCATCCTCCTCGTCATCCTCCCCTTCATCATCCTCCCGTTCGTCATCAACTTCAGCAGGGACAGCACTATCAACAGAATCACTGGCATGAAAAGTAGCAGGAATAGCAGCAGTGTCGTCACCTCTTGCAATCTCTTGCCCACTGATGACTTCCTGGACCGTCCGCTCTGTGAAATGCACATACAGGGTTCGGAATGAGAATGATGGCAGCTGACTTAGATTATCCTTCCATCTCTCGGTGGGGAATGGGGGGACACTTCTTAGATTGGGGTGCATGACACACCTGCGGACTTCAGACGCTCAGCTTTAGCAGCAATGTTTACACCACCATCAGGGTCAACAATTTCATATGCCAAGCCACCACGTATGTAGTCCTCAACTCTGTTGAACACAAAGAACAACACCCAAACAACGAAATAAATTTCAAATTTGAAAACATTGACAACCGACAACCAAAAAAGGAAATAATGATATATGGGAGGATATGTGGGATGATCCCGAACTAAAGGCGAAGTGACGTAAAACCCAAACAGCGTACGCATGACATCATTACGCAATGGGCCTATGGTCTCCAAACACAACATACTCAGTTCAGTCTATGTCCAAGGACTATTTGATGCATCTCCCCATCTAGTGTTCTGGCGTGCTTAATTTTTTTATATTTTTGTTCTGGTATTGCTCTGCTGGTTCCATGCAGATGAACTTTACATGGGAATCCATGGGTGTTGATCCATTCGACACGGAATTCCTAGAGGGACGCATGGCAGCTTTTGAGGTAAGAACGGAGCCAGTGGCAATTTCCGCCGATCCAGTTCTTGCGTGTTCTTTTCTGCAGATGTGGTGGCATTGCGCATTTGAGCTCGAGTCAAAATGCCTCAGAATTTCCTCTTATCTCTATGTATCCATACATTGTTGTGTGGATCAGCTGCTCTGGTGCCGCTGGGTCCTGGTACATGTACTTCCGAAGTAGTTATAAGAATGGCTGTGGCAGACCTCATTGCCTATGTTGGTCATTAGTGAATTGTACAGTAAACCTCCCCTTATCTAGACTCCCCAGATCCGGGCACCCTTTTGACCATAGTCACAAGATATTGACCTCCTAAAAACGGAAAACGGCACCAAAAAATATTGATTGCTACATAAAGTGTTTAGTTGTTGCATGCACATATATGTTTTGAGTTGGCAATTCCTAGCTGCAGGCATGCCCTGTCCCAACGTGCCCAGATAAGGGGGGTTCCACTGTACTTGATTTGCCCTGTGTTGGCAGGGTGTGCATTATGCTCGATACCACCTGTGTCTGTGAATCTTGCTTGCATACATGCTTCTGAAATCCGATTTTCTTTCCTCGTCGTTCAGGTTTTCTTGGAGAGGGTGTCTGTTCACCCGAAGCTCCGGTCCGACAGTATATTCCGCCTGTTCCTCAGCGACGTACGTTCTTTTTGGGAGCGGTGCAGTTGTTGTTGTTTGCTGTTGGTGCTGATGGGTACTGTACCATGTCTGTCTTTATGCATAGTCATGTGATGATAGTTCTGCATTCAGCAATGACTACTAGTGAGGGCCATGTGATTTCATATGAGTTATGAGCCCATTCATGTGAGACTCAGTGCTCTGACGAGCCTATTTTCATGGGTAACATGAAATTCTCCTTGTTGAACGCAGGTGTCGATAAAGCCACATGAAGAAAATACTGTTAACTATTTCAGGCATTTTGGGCTTTATGCGTATGTGTGTGGGCGTGCTCTGAGATCCAGGCAGTTCTATGATCTGTTAGGGCACACTTCAGTCCTGGAATACATTTTTAAGTGATTCCCAACTACCGTAACTAGGCTCTACTCAATCTCCGGATAGCTATCTCTTTCAATCTTGTTCGATCTCTCCAGCCTACTAACTAATAGTTACATCATTTTATTTTTTTATTTTTTTATTTTATTCCAAGCAATACATGGCTGGGGTAGCCAATGACCACTTTGCGTGGCGATTGCAGGGTTTTTATAGCCAACCATGGCTAACAAGGAAAAGAGTAAGAAGTCAAAAAGAAAAGGAAAAGAAGAAAGAAGCAATTCTCTGTCCACCCTGCACTCATTCGTTGCGCACACATCCGCACACTCACTCATACGTGTACACCACTATTGAACACGTGAACATTGCCAGTGGGGGCCACCACAGCACAAAGACTTATGCTATGCAAAACCCTCAAATGATTCAAAAACCTCAGAACTCTTGCCTCTGCCACACTTACTCTCCCGTGAACCAGGTCCAACACAAAACCCAGAATGGTAGGCTTCTGAGAAGGCACAAGACAAGATTTCTCCACATTGATCTTCCAACCTGCTCTTTCCAACGTTTCCGTGGGCACACCTGCTACCCTCACTGTCTCTTCCACAGTGCCCGCTCCTGCAGAGCCATCGTCAAAGAACATCATGCACTTAATGCCCTGAGCCCTCCAGTAACGAACCATCACACGGACCAGTTTGTTAAAAAGATACGGAGCAGTGGAGAGCCCACGATCACGCAGAACTGCTCCTCGTGGGCCTTTGCCTTCCAACTTCTCTTTTTTGCCGCCGCCATCCTCTCGTCCTGTCTCTCCCTCTTCACCTGCTTACTCTCCTTGCTCTTCTTGCTGTTTCTCCTCTTGCTACTTCTACTCCTGCCACTTCTCCTGCTCCTCTCCGACTCACTCTCACTGTCACTGTCACTCCTATCCTCTCTTTTCCTCTTACGACTGGACTTCTCCAACTTCCTCTCCAACGTCTCCAATCTTGCAGCCATCTCTCTCATCCTCCTACTCTCCTCAACATACCCTTCACTCTCACTACCACTACCACTCGGCGACACACTTCTCGACCTCGACATTCTTTTCACAAACCAAAACAACTTTCAAATTAAATTTTCACAACTCTCACTCAACTCTCCGCACAAAGACAAAAGAGGCCGACCCTGCACTCGTCACCTCCTTTTATCCCACACCGTGCTCCCTCGTACCCGTTCCCGGGTGGACAGAGAACACTACTTCTCTGCTAATTCTTATACTGTGACGTCAACCGCAGAGAAGTGACATATATGGACTAAAGTTGTGGTCTACTGGTAAAGCAAGGCGTTTCTGAATGCTGTTAAAGTAGAAAGGCCCTTTGTCTCCTGGTGCAGCTTAAGCCAATGCAAATAGCCATTGAAAAGGGGGGAGTGTAGCAATGCAGAAGAGCGGGCTAGAGGAATGGAGAGTTGGTTCCTAGTGGAGCTATCCCGTCGGAACCAGTCAAATGGTTTAAGATGCGGGGGTATTTTGGAAAGTCGAATACGATGGATAAGACAGCACATCATGATTCGTCGTCTTTCTAGGAGAGGTCTGGTCGAGGATAACATATAGAGAGCGACACTAGAAAGGGACTTGGGCATATGATAAAGAATCTTAAGGAGGGAACGATTGTGAATTTCCAGTTTCTGCTGTTGGGCAATAGATAGATTTGTCCAGGCAGTACAGCAGTAGTCAAAATGCGGCAAGATATATGCATTGTAGAAAAGAGCACGCCAGCTGTCAGGAAGATGGGCGCGGTGTGAGTATATTATACCTATGGCTTGACTAGTCTCCTTACATATGTGGGCAACATGGTGAGTCCAGGAGAGATTAGTGTCAAAAATGACACCAAGATGCCTGTGATGATCTACATATTCTATGGGAGTGGTGGAGAAATGGAATATTAGGGGAGGGAGAGGGTAGTAGAGAGTAGTAGACAGAGGGGGAATGATCATTACCTTGGTCTTCCCGACGTTCGGTTTTAGCTTCCACAATGCCATCCATGAGGTGATATCCGTGATACCCGCTTGGAGGTCTAATATAAGACGGGAAACAGAGGGACTACTGCGCAGCATACAAGTGTCGTCTGCAAACAGAGACACGCCAGGATTGAGGACAGGGAGGTCGTTGACGAAGGCCAGGAAAAGTAACGGTCCGAGAGTGGACCCTTGCGGTACACCAGAGCAAATAGGGATAGAATCTGAAAGGACTGGACCAAGCTTGACTGATTGAGTCCTATTATTGAGATAGGTGAGCCACGACTGCAGGCGTCCGGTGACCCCATAAGCATGCAGCTTGGCTAGTAACCCCCTATGCCAAACTGAGTCAAACGCTTTCGCCAGGTCGAAGAAACACAGGCCAAGGTAATGGCGGCGGTCTCGGAGGGTGCACAGTCTCTGGACAAGGTTGGTTAAATGTAGAGAGGTAGAGTCACCATGGCGGAACTCAGATTGCATATCATGGAGCAGAAGTGCCAGATGATGGTACAGCCGATCATAGACGATTCGCTCAAGTATCTTGGAGCAGGTGTTCAGCAGAGAGATTGGGCGACAGTTACCAGGATCATGTCTGCTTCCCTTGTTCTTGTATATGGGAACAACCACAGCATATTTCCAGGCAGAGGGAAAAACGCCGCTGGACAGGGAATTATTGAAGATAAGAGGATAGGAGATAGAAAGTTTCAAGGCCTTCAGAATCTCGTTGCTTACCGTATTTCCGCGCATATAAGCCCATGGGCCTATATCCGGATATAAGCCCACCTCCGTTTATAGGCCCATGGGCTAATAAACAGACCCAAACACCGTAGTACAGCATGTCAGTGCAGACTACATTACCAGTACCGGTACCTACAGCAGGCGGACAACTGCGCACGGACTTGTACTTTTTCGCGTGCCTTCAAAATTCGAATATAGGCCCAGGGCAAAAAAACGAACCATTATTACTGATTTTTTTTTCCCGGAAAATGCATTATTTCGTATATTAACCCATGGGCTTATATGCGCGGAACTATGGTATACCGTCATAGCCTGGGGACTTCCCTGTGGGGAGTTTCTCAATATAGCGAATCACGGCCTCGGAGGAGATGACAATGTTTGAGAGGTTCGAGGCCGGAGAAGGGAGATGAGACAGATCTGGGACGGGCCAGTCAGGATCATCCTGTGTGCTAACCCGTACAAAGTGCTCGTTGAGAGCAGCTGCCATCTCAGCAGGATTATGTGTGAGGGTGTCAGCGGAGGTGGTTATTGCTGAGGGTGCAGGGTGATGCAAAGATACACCAGACAGGGAGCGGACAAATGAGTAAAGCGACGGATGGGCTGAGTTAGTGAGTTTGCTCTGGAGTGACTGAATGTATCTTTTGTGAACACGGCGAGAGAGGTGCTTGACCAAATTGCGTTGGGCCTTATAGCGAGCAAGGTTTTCTGCTGTGGGGAACTTCCTGTAGATGCTATAAATATTCCGTTTATTGATGACTGCATTTAATACTGAGGTCGTCAGCCAGGGTGGACGTGCTGGCCTGTCGACGGAACGACCCTGTGAAGAGGGGCGATTAATAGGAGAAGCTGGGAACTGATACTTAGCGAGAGCAGCAGAGAGTTCAGATGAGAATCTCTTGCATGCTACGTCAATGCTTGTGTTACCAAGAAGCTCCCTCCAATCCACAGAAGTAAGCTGCTTGTTTATACAGTTCCACTGGTCATTTGTGATCGTACGGAAATGATAGCGAGGCGGTGAACTGCCGATCAAGTCATCTGGCGTAGACGGTGAGCGCTCATAGGCTGTACCTGCTGCAGGAGAGAACGTTGGTGCTTGGTAGTGTTGCAGGCTAGGCGCTTCCATACGAACCAACACGATGTCGTGGTCAGACTGACCCAGAAGAGCAATAATGTCTGAAATGGAAAACGCAGATGGTGTATCAGTGATTACCAAGTCCAAGGCTGCTCCTGTTCCGGCTGGAGTGTGGTGAGTAGGGAAGTTGACTAACTGGGAGAGGGAAAACATTCTTAGCAGGCATTGTAGCTGGTGTCCAGCAGTGTCCGTGATATTGCCGTGCCAGTCACTACACTTGGCATTGAAATCACCCATCATAAGCATAGAGGAAGTGGTGTGTCTGGTCGTCTGAAGGACTGTTTGCAGACAGCCCACAACATTGTCAATATCAGTGGAACACGCATTTGGTGGCCTGTAAACGCATCCAGTAATGAGAGACTCAGGAGGTGCAGATGACGAAGTCGATGTATGAGCTGTCATTTCGACCCACGTGGCCTCAAATTTGTGGAGGTGTAGACCAGTGAGATGCTTAACTGTACCTGGAAAATCCGAGCGGACTAGAAGAGCGACACCTCCAAATCCCCTAAAGCTATCAGTGCTCTTCTTGTTGTCCGCTGTGGGTCGGTCATGGCGGTAACAGTCGTAGCCTGGAACTACAAGGGAGTTAGGCTGAGACTGCCATGTTTCAGTTATGCCAATGACGTCGGGCTTGTACTGCTCGATGAACTCGGAAAGTTCTCCATGCTTATTCTTAATTGATCTAGCGTTGATACATGCAATGTGTGCGGGTCGGCCAGAGGAGGGCTGAGCGGGGTAGAGCGGGTGGGCTAGTTTCGATCGTGGGGTGAATACAGGGGCGTTGGGATTTAGTCGTTGTTGCTGCATCGTTGTGTATGTTGGTTTGTTAGCATGACAGTTCAGGATTGATCATCACTGCCTCGCCACGAAGTAGAAGACGACTTGTTACCTTGGGCATCAACAAAGCGCCACTTTCGCACTGTGTACTGGATGGTGGCCGGCCAGAATTTGGAGTCGAGAACTTTGTCCTCGTCCGACGCTGCCACGGTTACGCGAGCATGGCAAGTACCCAGGTACGTGTTTTCTGAAATCGAACAGTTCAGTACGTCAACTTGGCGGACCTTGCACCACGCTGTTATTGACTCTGCCCTGCAACCCGGACTGACATTTCCAACGTACAGAACAAGCTTCTTTGTACGTTCAGGCCCTGTTAGCACACGCGGGTCGGCTGTCCTGGGCTGTGGTTTCACGTAGCGTGAAGTAACTCTACGGCGTGTGACTTCCGACCACTCTGATTTTGTCGGCTCTATCCTTTCTCAAGGAGACAATTTCCTGTGACATGCTGCTAATTGAGTCAGCAAGGCTTACAATTGCAAGTTGCAGCTCCGATGTAGGTAGCGAACTCTGCGCCAGCACGCCCACTCCACGCTTCCTCAGCTCGCTCACCAGATCCGGCCGGGAGAGGCTCGAGGCTTTATCCACAGACATTTGCTCGCCGATCTTGATGAGCTCCTCATAGCCAACCAAAGCCAGGTCCATGCCTTCGTTTGTCGCCATTGGTACTGTTGGTCACTTCTATTAGTTCTAAGCAATAATGGGGAGGGGTAGTTCTGTAGAGAGACGCACCTCGAGGCTAATCCTCGGAGCACAAAATGTCAAACCGCACTCTACTTTCACCCTCTGCTGTAGTAGCACCAGTACTACTTGTAGCACTGTAGCAGGCTTGTTATGGACACGGTACAGTACATTTTATAGGCCCGGGAAAAGCACCTCACTCCCGCTACTGTCCTGGGGAACCCGTGGCAGTTTGCATATCTATATACTATTTTCAAGGTCCTGAAAAGATTGGTATTCCTTCATGGGCTGGTACATGTGTTTCTTTGCTACCTTGTATGTTCAGGACAAGACCTTCATGGAACAGACAAATGACACGAAGTTTGCCGCAAAGGTAGGCATACCTGTTCAATTTATTCTTTTTTACCATTACGTGTGCGAATACTATCCTCGGGTGTGTGTGTGGGGGGGGGGGGGGGAGGGGTGTTGTGTTTTGGTAATAAACGATGTGTGTTGACCAAGGCGGCCGCATGTTCAGCTCCAGTGTGTGTATTGCCACTCTGCACTGCTGTGGGTTGCCTTCCTAGCATGGTTTCCATGTTATTGTCAATGCTAGACAGGTGTGCTGGCATTGCAACCTTGCACATCACACTGACCAGCCATCAGCATTGTGTTACTAGAATGAACACCACTGTCGTTGTTTTGTGAATTTTATCCGTGTCGTGCAGGCTGACTCGCGCATCAAATCCAGCATTGCATCGCTGAGAATAAAGAAAATGGATCGGTATGTACACCGGCATCATCGTGTTTAGAACTTACTTCCTGCACTGGTCTCCCTTTTTGAAAACAAAGGCTAGTTTATTAGACGGCCGAGATGAACCCCATTGCTTTTGTTGAAGACCAGCAGAGGTTGTTATTTCAGACAACCACAGTGGCGGTGTGTCTGTTTGTGTTGTCTGCTTTGTTGTGGAAATGCTCTACATGAGATCGTTTGTCACTCATCACCCCCCCGTGTTATCTTGTTTGGACCAGTCTCCTTCTTTTCCATGGTATTTCTCACCAACAGCAGCTGGTCTGTCCACTTTGCGGGCACAGAGTCTACTGAACCCTGTCGGCACACACGTATTTTTATTCGCGTAACTTTGTGCCTCGTAAGAGATTCAAGTCTTCCAGTACATTGTACATGTATCTCAAGGTCACTTGTATTGCTTCTCGTGTATGCGATAGGTCTCACACATTTGCTTTAATACTGTAGAATGTACTGGTATGTGTTGTTTTGATGTGCCGTTGCCCTGTCTATTTGCAACGTTGCAGGCATTTCTCGCAGTGCCTGGTGTACAGTGACAACCTCGCCACATCAGCACTTGCCACAAGACGTCACGGAAAGGTGTGGCCGCCACTCTCTCAATTTCTCATGTGCTCTTTAAAAATGTGTGTGCACGCATGTGTGTGTGTGTGTGTGTGTGTGTGTATGTGTGTGTGTGTGTGTGTGTGTGTGTGTGTGTGTGTTTGGTTGTACTTGGGCGTACATGTATTGTAATGGATGTTTCCTAACTGGCTCTTCTTGATTCTTCTTTGGTGGGTAATCGATCAGACACTTGACAGAACGCAACAAGTACATCAGCTCTAGTGCTTATTGGCATTTGTGTGCTTTTCTAAATGTAAGAAGAGCTATATTAGGCTAGTACTATTGGTTTTGCAGACATTACCACATGACATTTTAACACCGTCTCAGAGTTTTCACGTTACATAATTCCGAAAGTGCACAGCGAATACATTCGTATAAATGCTCTAACGTGGTGTGTTTGTTGCATGGTAATGTCTGCTGTGCTTATACTCTGACAAAGTGTCTTGGGATGTTCACCCCTCATCATTTAGGTTTGATATCACTGATGGAATTTAAATTCTAGTTTGTGCTCGGAGAGCCAACACGTGCATATAGTGCTCTTGGGGTCCCAAGATCACCAGGGATGCGCACTTACATAGATACCTAGCTTCCTGACAGCGGCATGTGTCAGTGTTGCCCATGGGCGTACAGACTGCAGAGCATGCAGGACATGTACGAGCTCCACCAGTGTTGAGAGCAGTCCGAGGTCTTCGACAACTCGCGTGATTGCGTCTCTTGGGGGTTGTGTTCTGCTTTCTCAGGCTATTTGTGATCGTCAGGTTGCCATGATGAAGCACTACAGGGCACTGGGCAACTGTGTGAGGTAGGTTGCGCAAACACCAGGCTATACTGTACACCCTAACAATATAATACGTTTGTGAACCTTGAAGGGCATATCAACACCAATTTGAGAGTGTTTTCAGAAAGAAAAAACCCTGGATCAACTGCCCATTTTACTGTCACTGCGTTCGGGTAGCTGTGTGCAGGCTATTCACAGATCTGGTAGAGCTATAACATCTACTACGTGCAACTCTAGTGGCTTTCTTTGCGGCGTTCTGTGATTTCACATGCTTTTTCCCCAATATGGTTTCTTATTCCCATCAGCGACTGGGCGGAGGATGAGAAGGACATTCCACAGGAGCTGACAGTAGCCGGCAGACAACTGGCAAGGTGAGGATCGATGACAGTCAGATGGGCCCGCCAAGTTCGATTGAGCGGTTATTGTGATCGATACCAAGAGTGCATGACCGTGGTTGTGTACTCTTGTCGATACCCATATAGCTGGCCCTGCTATAGTAATATGGCTTGTCCTATTGCGATTGTGGACGGACATTTTGTCGGTATCACGGCTGTACCACCAGTTTTCCCCGGACATCACAATTCTCCAACAGAGAGGACACATTGTACCGTATTTATTCCTTATTTGTCAACATGTGTGATTAGACTACATGTATTAGTACAGTGCGAAATGAGCATGGGACAGTGAACGAGAATTAAAATGAGAAATGAATTATTGTTCAGAACGGTTCTGTTGTTTAATATGATCATGAGTGAAGCTACGGAACAATGGAAGGGAGACTACATTATGCTTGAACATGTTTAACGCATTACGGTTGTAATGTATTTGTATGTTCCTCTAACCATGTTAGTTGATTGCCTTCATGGAGAGGATTACTTCTTGAGACTGCTTTTCTTCTATGCCACATCAACTCTGTTGTACCAATCATGTTGCTTGTGTGCAGTATGGCGGAGACATCGACCGACTGTGTGAGTGCTGTTGAGCAAAAGTTCCTTCAGCCGCTGCAAGAGTACTGCATGTATGGCGATGCACTCAAGTGAGTAGAAGCAGTACAATGTCCAATTGTATTGTTCATGTATATGTACATTGCCTTTAGCAATGATTGCATGGTTAATGAAGTGTTGTGTAGGTCCGCCCAGGCAAACAACCTAAGAGACAGGCCCGCAGAATGTGTTTGTGAGTGTGAGAGAGAGACAGGCAGACAGACAGACTGAGGTTCTGTACGCCTCAAGGGTTGCGCAACTCCTCTACATTATAATTGAATGGTAGTTGAGCAAGCGAGGGTCCCTGGTTCGAGTCCTGGTGGTGACAGTCAATTTTTTCTTCAGACTTTTCCCGTTTGCGTCTTTAACCAGTCAATACTTGAGCAAGTATTTGACATTTTTCTTTCGTGTTTCCACCTCGACAGGCGTGTTGCCCGCCACCAGCTCCTACTGCAGTACGATTTGGAGCAGACGGAGGAATCTCTCAGTGCCAAAGCTCTCAACAAAGTGGAAGTGTCATCAGAGGTAGGGTGCATAGCTGTTTGTTGTACAAGTACTCAAGTAGCAAGTGTGCATTTTGCCGCAGCACCAGGGTTCCTCTAGGGGTCTGGAGATTTGCGGGTAATTCAAACAGATCGATGTGTTAACTAAGTTACTTACGTAAGAGTTCCATAATATGGACTTTGAGCGTGTATGCGCTGGTAAAGCTTGATTTGCTTGTATGGTTGCTCCCTCCCCTACATTTCGACTTTTATTGTAGGTCTATAATTGATTACACGTATATTAAATGTATGTATAATTATGTGGTGTGAACGAATGTTTACGTATGCCTCTCAGTCTACCTCACTGCTCCAGTCATTGTAACCTTATGCGTGGACTGCCGTGTTCACCGCCAGCTCTTCGCCGTACTTACGTGTCAGATAGAGACGTGCAGCATTCCTTCTAAACTTTGCATTTTTCCTATTGCTCTGGTTGGTACCACCTGCACGTGTCGTTATGACTGTCAGTGCCGCTCTCCTTTGCCTGTGTGTGTGTGTGTGTGTGTGTGTGTGTGTGTGTGTGTGTGTGTGTGTGTGTGTGTGTGTGTGCAGCGTGAGAATGAAATCACCTTTGGTAGAATCGCTGCTCGCGTGCTGACTGGAACGGGCACGAAGGAGGCACGCGTCGAGGCAATACAGAAGGATATTGATCTGCTAGAAGCGTCGTCTCAGCTACAGATCGACCAGCTCAGGTACGCGTAGATACTAGTATTGTAAAACTATATAGTGTCGCTCATGTCTCATGCATGACTATGACTGTAGTGTCGCTCATGTCTCATGCATGACTATGACTGTAGTGTCGCTCATGTCTCATGCATGACTATGACTGTAGTGTCGCTCATGTCTCATGCATGACTATGACTGTAGTGTCGCTCATGTCTCATGCATGACTATGACTGTAGTGTCGCTCATGTCTCATGCATGACTATGACTGTAGTGTCGCTCATGTCTCATGCATGACTATGACTGTAGTGTCGCTCATGTCTCATGCATGACTATGACTGTAGTGTCGCTCATGTCTCATGCATGACTATGATGACTGCAAGTAGACTAGGACTTGGATAAGACGAACCGGGCTACATTCAGATCCTGGAGATTGTTCACATACCAATAATCTTAGCTGGGGTATACTTTGATAAAATGAACCAAGATCATGTCCGATATAGCCTGCTTCAGTCAAACCCGGTTAGGGGCGAACTTTCCGTGCCACCGCTGACATGCAGCAGCCGAGCAAACTTCATCTGGTGCTTTCAGCTTTGCACGTTCTATCATGAACGCGTTATTACAACTTAGTTTGCGATCATGTCCATGTCACCGTGCCCTGCCCTACAATCGATCGTGTAGGAGTAGCCATTAGGGAGGTTTCGCTCTACGGAATTACGTATGAAAATAACGTATGAACTGCACGGAATTTTCATACGTAAAAATCAGAGCTGTTGGGTTTCGCTCTACGTGATTTCTCCACGACTGCTAAACATGCGTTGTTGCTTTGGAGACGCGTTGGCTGCATGCGCCCACCGTATGCACCATGAACCGAAACCGCGTTTTCCATTATATTTTGCACGTGGTGTACGGTGTGTGTACTTTGTGTTTCGCGCGGCTTGAATATTGCCATGGACAAATGCGGAAAAAGCGAAAATTATTTCAAAAAGTCCTACGGAGGACCCAACGTAGGAAAGAGCTTTCCTACGGAAATCCGTAGAGAGATTTACGTATGAAAGTTGCCCTCGCTCCCCGGCGCGTACGACATACGGATTTTCATACGTAATTACGTAGAGCGAAACCTCCCTATTGTCTGCTGCATTGGGCCTGGTCGCAGCTGTCGCCTCATGTCATGGTGGTGGGTGTGCAACTGTTGAAACGCCTGGCTTTCATGCCCGTCGGCATAAAGATTCAGTTCAGCTCTTACCCCCGAGATGGTGCTGCTGTAGACTGAAGTTTCTTAGTTTCACCCCTAGGAACCATATCGGATTTTTCATCAACCACCACACCATAAATGCGCTCTCCAGCCGACCTCGACACGTTACACGTTACATTAATTTGTACAGGGCCGAATGCTGATGCTGACCCCTTTATTTAGAATCGTATCAGGTTCACAATAACCGACGTTCTTTGACCTGCACTGTCTGTGCTTTCAAACTTTCTTACGTGTGTTGTGAGTGCCGGTCCACAGTCTAATGTGCCAAGCTCAACTTCTGCGATGGCCCAGTTGCGGTGGTTGCGTGGGCTGCGAGATGGCTATGGTTTGGGGATTTCCCGGCTTCGCGGCCGTCGCATCGCAAAAATGCTTCTGTGAATCCCGCTTGAGTGTTGATGACTGAGTCATGACTACATGAAAGAGATATAAACTGTGTTTTTTACTAGATGTACTACTGTCTGAACGTAAGCGTTCGATGAAACAACTCCAGATATGACGCAATCTTTTTCTTTTCTTTTTCCATGAGGGTCGTTGGTCCACTCCTGTCCAACGTTTGCTGTTCAGTCACCTGTTCTATGACCTTGCTTGTTACCACTATGTGCAGATTGTTGTGTATTTCCCTTTGTGAGCACATATTCGTTTGGCTTTGGCTTGATACTTTTTTAACATTGACGAGGCCATTGGCATTGTGTCTCATTTGCTGCACATCGGGGAGTGTCTTCCTGTTGGCTTGAACTATCATCTAGGTTGCCTTTCCTTGCAAAATGCCGAAGGCGTAGAGTAGGGAACGAAATTGTTTTTTTCTTGTGCTTCTGTCTGTCTGTCTGCCGTGCATTGTCTTTGCTGATGGCAGCGAATTCACGGCAGCTGCCACAAAGGAGATCGCCATCTTCCATGATCAGAAGTCCGCAGACATGCGTGCTTATTGGAAAGCACTAATCCAGCAACAAATTGAAATGACCAAAAAGGTAAGGGCCCAGCATGACTGGCCTAGACAGTACTCTCAGGCTTGGTGAGTTTTGCCTGTCTACCTGTGTTTGATTCTTTATGAACACACAGCATTGTATATATTGTGCTTTTCAGTTGTAAAATCGGTGCCAGCTTTCAGGAGGGGGGGGGGGGGGGGGCTGCTTAAATCTCCACCACCTCGCTCTGTGAACACTATGATTATTATGTAAATGGAGTACCAGCAACGGCATAAATAATAGCAGAAACCGCCAACACCAAACTTCTTGTTGCTGCCAGCCGGTTCCAGCCCGCTCAACCATTGGTAAAGTCAGTAACTTATAAGTACATATAGCACCTGTTTGCCATGCTGTGACCTGCAGCTTTGCACAGCATGGGCCGCTTAGTGTTATGTTACAACGAGCGGACTGCTGTGCTACGGAAACTGTGTGGCTGATCAGCATCCGTTTTGGCTTGTGTGTTTGCTTTCTGGTTTGACCCTGTAGGCGATTGGCGCGTGGATGGAAATCCGCACTTCCTTTCATGCTGTGAAGCGAACCCAGTGAGGGCTTGTAATAAACACTATTGTTGTATCTTCGGTCTTCACTCAACTTCTTGCAACCTACGTGCAGCTTGGTAGCATGTACACACTCAGGCATCATGCATACTTTGCTCCCGCGGATGTTCTCATTCTGATGTAGAAGCGCCATTACTTAGCTGATTAGCACGTCCGTTCCACTTGAGTTTAAGACCACCTTTAGTCCTGTCAATTCTAAAGTCTACTCGATTGCAAAACTGTAGCCGCGAATTGTGAACAAGATGATTGTTTTAGCCCATCTTCTTAGCCCGATGAGGACCTCTTGCTCACTGTAGTTGCTATTTGGTTGTCCGCTGCGAATGAAGCTGGGTGCACTAGTTATGCATACACAGACAAACTCTACTGCCTTACACTTTGATGCATGATCGCATGTCGCTGATGCAACTATTTTCGAAAATGTTTTAGTTTGGTGACTAGGGCACAATTGCCGCCACCAAACTGTGTTGAATTGCTCTTCTCCCTGGTTCATTGTCTCTTCTGTGCCTTCTGCACCACAGAGCCATGCACTTGCCACCGTTTGCCACTCCTTCATGATTCCATCTGTCTAAAAGTCTCTTCCGTTTGCTTGCACTTGACGAAACTAGCACGAATTCCTCTTACTTTTAGCGGTGTGGCTGTGCCTGCGCAGCCTCCCGTTCCTCTGGTGCCTTGCTTCACCATGCTGCATCTGTGTGTTGTCTTTGTGAAATCTGTTATTGTCATGCCCCGTCATGTTCCATACCTTTCTGAATTATCTTCTTTTTTACTTTCGTATTCCTCTCTTTTTTTAAACCTTTGTTTTCCAAGTTACCGGTATGACTATTGTGTACATATCCGTACTCATTACACAGTGCACAGCACTGACTAATGATTATCTTCTCTCACCTAGTACTAGCTACTCGGTATGGATGATATGTTTCTTTCGAAATTGTCACGTATGCCATGTAACCTCTGTGTGCATGTGTGTGTGTGGGGGGGGGGGTGATGTGTGTGTGTGTGCCTGTGCGTGTGTGCCTGTGCATGTATGTTTGCCTGAAACTCAGAGTTACAACCAACTGGCCTTGCTCCACGGTTGTACTGTATAACAGCTGTTATGTGTGCCGCTGTTTCTGGCGTGACTCCACTGGCTCGGTTTAGGTGTGCCATGTGTTTTGGGTTTTCGGTACGGAGCAGGGGTCATGAAAAAATGACGCCCTGTGTGCTTAGGGTACTGATCGGTACCCCAGCACACTATCCGAAGAACACGTAGCCGCACCTGCACAGGTCTCAAGACAAGTCTCGCTTGGACTTGTACGAGCGAGACTTGTCTTGAGATTTGTGCAGGTGCGGCTACGTGTTCTTCGGATAGTGTGCTGGGGTACAGATCAGTGCACTGTGTGTACGTGTAGTGCAACAAAAAGTTCAAAAATCGCGGAAAACGCGGTCTTTTAAAAAACGCGGCCGCGGAATCACGATTTTCCTCGGGGTCAGGTAGATTCTAGACTCTAGTACCTGTACGGCACTCGACGATCCGACCAACATAATCCTTCAAAGAAGGACCAGATACAATCAAGAGTGCATAAACAAGAGTATGCAACTGCGGTCAGTGCGCGGCGCGCTGCCTTCATTACGTAACTTGCCTTCATCAGAATCATCACCCTCTGAAAGCATGCATTCAAACTCACAATTTCTCGTACGAGCCCATCCGTTTTGGCTCGATTCGTTCCAGTACCTACCCAATCTCTAAAGTTTGGCGCATGAACTCCAGTTCCGTACGCAAGTCCATTTCAAACCAGAGGGAAAGCGCGGTGTTTGATTTTCCGCAGTGCGCGGACTGCAGCTGAATGATGTAATGAAGGCAGCGCGCCGCGCATCTGGCCCATACTGGGCCATAGAAAAGAGATCACAGTTGCATACTCTCTTGTTATAAATTATGGACTCTTGATACAATACAAAGACAACACGAACATGCGGACTGAACTTTCGAACACGTCGTGAGACACGAGCGGCAAGCGAATCTTTGATGAAGGGCAGTTTGATGACCGACTTGAATTGGTTGTGTCTGCGCTTGCTGTGCTGCTGTTGTTGAGACGGGTGACCGTGTGTATCTTGTCTCTTCCCCTTGGCTGCTCGTCGTGCTGCGTTTATCTCGGTGCGTGGATACTAGTAGTCATTTCTCTCGAGCAACTCTTCAATTATGGACATACTCCTGTGTTCCGGTGACACAACCAAGTCGGTCATCAAACTGCCCTTCATCAACGACTCACTTGCCGCTCGTGTCTCACGACGTGTTCGAGAGTTCAGCCCGCATGTTCGTGTTGTCTTTGTATCTGGTGGATAATGTATGTTGCCAATGTTGGTCCGATCGTCGAGTGCCGTACGTGTCGGTATGTGTCCCCGTGAGAAGCAGCGATCGGAGGTGAAGAGAGGGAGAGGTCGGAGTGTCGTGCATGTGATGCGAGTACTTGTACTAGTATGGTGGATAGTCAGTGTTTAGTCAAAGGTCTTGTCTTGCACGGTGTGTGCGGAATTGTACGTAGCTGGTGAGACCGAGCGGCCGGTGAGGGACCGATTCGCTGAGCACTACCGAGAGGCAAGGTCGATGGTGGCGAAGGCTCCCTGGAGCTTCCACTATCGTACCCAGCATCGAGAATCTTCAAAGTCTTCCAACTTTCTGCCCTTCCACCAGGCAAAGATTCTCGGCAGGGAGGCTTCGCTACCATCAAGGAAACTGCTTGAAGCTATCGAGATAAGGAAGCGCAAACCAGCAGTCAATCGCGATGACGGTTGGCGCCTGATTGGATGTCACCGGATCGTCACTGGAATCGACGCCCATCTCCTCGAACTACCACTGGACTTTACCACCTGGCACAGCACATGCACATACTGAAGTACTTTGCACATACACACTTGTCATATACAGTGAAACCTCGTTAAAAAGAACACTGATACAACAAACTTTCGCTTAAGACAAACTAGTATTCATAACTCTATTGGATAAATCACTGTGTAGTCACTGGGTATAAGATATGGATAAGAAGAACTCCCGGTATTGTGAACAAATCCCGTCGGTCCCTTGGTGTTCGTCCTAAAGAGGTTTGACTGTACATAGATCGCCTTTAGCATTCCCACACTTGAAAGTGTTCTTGTACATGTACATGTACGTGCTGTGATTAGTCTTATCTTCTTTCTTCTGTTTAGGTCACCTAAGTGACCTTACAAGTTACAGGTGATGATTCACGGTAAACTTTAGTGTTCTGTTAGTGTTAGTTTTCTTGCCTTCTTGCCAAATTGTGTCTGTGTGTATGTGTGAGTTTTCTCTTCTTTCGTTCTGTTTAGGTCACCGTAGTCCTTACAAGTGATGATTGTTTAGTTTGCTGGCCTTGCCAATTGTGTCACCACGATGTGTTAGTTCTAGAACATTCATCTGCCTGCATTATTCGTCTTTATATTTCGTGTTTTGCCTCCCCTTCCTCAATGGCCAATGCCCTGATGATGCCCAATGGGCGAAATATATTATTGGCAAAGTTATTTATCTATTTGGTGCAGCTGAGAGCCTGTTGCCGGAATGGCGGTATTTTCTAGTGTAATGAAATATGGGGTAAAATGTATTTGGCCCAAATTTACCAAACTGAGATTTGCCAGCGAGAGAGCCCCAGGATCCCCCTTCATAGCCTAGCCGCTCCAATGCAGTTTCCAACACTGGCAACAGACTCATAATATCAGTGCAACACCCTGGCCCTGGTACCAACAAAAGTAACAGTTAGTTACTTGTTCTCTGCCTCTGTCAGAGTCTGATCTGTGCGTCAGGCAGTTAGCGGGTTCACGTGGGGATGACCTGGCCATGTGTACAGTCAGTCAGTAGAGCTAGCTGGGCCGGGTCCTGCGCGACCCGATGATGTGGTGTGATAATGATTTATGTGGAACTGTTCTTTCTATCTGAACAGCGATGACCGATGACCAGGCTGCAGGCCAGGGTAAATCCTTGACCTTGCTCTACTCCAGAAATCGGATTCCTGGCCTGGATGGGCCCATGCCCATGGCATGGGACGTACTGCGTACATAACATGATTGTAACACAGACTGTGCATTTTGATCATCTTCATTACTTCAATAATTATTATTATTCTGTGGAGTATCACTTGATGACGTCATGGATTTACGGACAATAAAAGCGACACAACCACGTGGAAAACCCTTTGGTGGTAGTTTTGGCTTCTTGTTGGCTTATTATCCACTGTCGCTGTTCTGCATGTCCCCTGTTCGCCCTCGTCGCTTTGCACGAGAAGCTGGAGGGTTAACTGCAGTGCAGAAGAAAGACCAAAAAAATTAGTAAAACCTCTTGCCAGCCGGCGGTCCAAAATGAGTGTTCAACCAGCGCCCGGTGCGACTACCTACGCGGTAGCATCGCTTTATGTCGGCGACCTCAACCAAGATGTCACGGAGGCTATGCTCTTCGAGAAATTCAGCACCGCTGGCCCTGTGCTATCCATTCGAGTGTGTCGTGATGTGGCCTCTCGCCGCTCCCTTGGCTATGCGTATGTGAACTTCCAGAGCTCGTCAGATGGTAAGTCCAAATTGGCAGCACTGGCACTCGTTGGCATTTCGGACGAAACACCAGCCATGGCGCTTGTTGGAACCAAGTTTCTTTTAGTTTTGGAACGAGGTTCCAGCTGGCCAGTCTTGCTCCCCTCTCCCCGCACATCTATCATCGTTTACTTGAACTGTACGCGAATGTCTGCAGCCAATTGTGTATTTTCTGAAAATTCGTGTCATTCCCAGATATTCCGACCCATTCTGTTCTATTTTCGCCGGTGCAGAGTTTCTTTTTTTTCATTGTCTGAGTGGGTGTATTCTGCTCGGCTTCATGTCAAAGTTTTGTTTGGCAGAAACAGGTGCATGAAGAACGCTATCATGTCTTGTTTGCGCCGAGAACGTTTTTCTACGGGTAGGAGCGGTTAGAAATTCGCGGGTGATGATGCTCTGCGTGGTCGACGCCATGCTTACTGCGACTCACTTTTACTGCTCGTTACCGTGCATTTACATTATCAGTTGCTTTGGCTTTTACAGCACTGAACCTGTTACCTACTATCCGCGCCTGCAGCAAGAACTCCATTACAGTCGGACCGAAAGTAGAGCCTTGAAACAGCACCGGCAGGACTAGCAATATTTCAACTTTGGAGGCCATTATCGGTGACATGTGATGGTTTTCCGCGTGTGCTGCATGCAGCACTCCTCTTCTTTTTTACTGAGTTCAGAAGCCCCCGCAGTGCAGTCTGCACTGCAGCACCGGTGGAGTGGCAGCAGCAGCGGTGCACGAGACCTTGTCCGAAGACAGGTCACAGGGCTAGGGAGTGCTGTCCCCTTGAAGTGTCACGTGCCGCTACACAGTCTGCATGTTTGAGTGCAGTGGTGCTTCCTGTTCACTGACTTCACTCAGTCTTCAGCCCTGGAGACTACTGATAAGGCGACCACCTGTCCCAGACGACCACTCAGTGCAGCCTGGACCAAGGGATGCTATTTCCAGTCAAAATTGATGATCCTGGATAAGGAGACCATCTGGTTACAGAGACCACACTTTGAAGGTCCCTTGAGTGGTCGTCTTAGAGGCAGGTTTCATTGTACTAGCTGTACTAGCTGTAGTGCTTGGAGTGCTGGCGCATGGCAGTGCCAGTGGTGAGATCACAGGAATATCACTCTACACTGTCCACAGGATCCATAGCTTCGCAAAGCACTATTGCCGTCGTAATGTCGAACTTTCTCACGAAAGAAAATAATATTTTAGTTATGGGGTGGGGGTTTGACCAATTTCGTTTCAGAAATCATTGATACATGTACAGTGCTGCTCAATGAAATCCAGTGACGTCACTCAAGCTTGCGCCTTGCATCATTTCGTAGCCCAGTGCAGGTCTAGGGCTGCGCAACGCCCGGCGTGTACTCGGGTGACGCGTCTGGATTTCATTGAGCAACACTGTACATGGCCATAGGAGCAGTGAGACACTTGTTGCGATTCTCGTTGTATACTACATAGCATGCATGTAGTGTGCATGTGTACGTGACATTTTTTTACCGGCTTCTGAGGGGGAGGTAGGGGCTGGGTTGTGAAACGAAATTGATTCGTTTCGTGATAAAATTTCGATATTAATGGACGTCCCCTAAGCATGTGATAACTACTTAAGTACATGGTTTGGTAATTTACTGGTTTGGTTGTCGGTAGGAACTATGCAACTATGAAGAGGGAGGGAAGTGGAAGACGATAATGGGAAACGTGGCAAGAAAACCTTGTAGCTTGAAATCGGGGCAGTGCCGCAATACAACCCAGAAAGAAAAACGAGAAAGAGGGAAGCTGCAGTGGCCAGACTTGCCCAACTTGTAGCTTATGAGCAATGATGCATTATCTTACTAGTCAGAGAATCTGATGTAGTTCAAATGATACCCTGATAAAGTGGTTGTACTGCAGTCCCTGTGCCTTGTGACAGACTTGAACCACAGAGCACCGGCTTCTAAGCCACTTCTGAAAAGAAGAAAGTTATTTTGTGCACCTCCCTTCAGGTTCTGTAAGAAGGCCAGTGGCTGGGTTGGATGCAGTCCATGTTTTCCTCCGACTTTTCCCTTGCCTTGATGATATCCTCCGAACTAGTGAATAAAATGCTGATTGTACGCATGAGTCGCAAAGTGACGAGTGTACGTGCCATGCAAGGTGTGTGGTTGTTGGGCTGCCATGTTGTAGTCTTCTGGGTGCTGAGTCGAATGGTCTTGGTCCGAGGAAGCTGAGCCGCTCCCTTCCTCTGTTCCCAATCGAACTCGCACACTTCCACCGAAACTGGGTGACTGCGCCCTACTAGATGGGCATTTGTATGCAACATGTCACTAAAAGTGCCATTTCTTTCTTATAAAAGCACGGATGACCGCGATTGGCCCATATGTTGTAGTCTTTTGGACGCTGAATGGATTCAATTGGATTCAACATCGATTCTCGGGCAAAATCGAACGCACTCAGTGTGGCACACGTAGACGAAGTGCAGTTCCAGACATCGGTTTATGGCGTGCTTGTACAGCGATTCAAATTGGGCGGGTGAACATCCTGACAACCAGCGAACCTGCTCCTACACACCTAAAACGTCCTATACTGGCCCATGCTGTACAATCTATGCTGGGAAGGAGAGTTCCATTTTACATTCAGAGCCTGCTGGTTATACACTGTGTGTCTGCGGGCACTGTCTGCTGCTGCTGCTAGAATGAAATGTGGCATTGCTTGTGCCTCTCCTGTGTCTGTAGCTCTCACTGCTCTGTCTAACATGAAATGTGGCATTGCTTGTGCCTGTCCTGTGTCTGTAGCTCTCACTGCTCTGTCTAACATGAAATGTGGCATTGCTTGTGCCTCTCCTGTGTCTGTAGCTCTCACTGCTCTGTCTAACATGAACTTTGAAGAGATGAAAGGAAGGCCCATGCGCATAATGTGGTCGCAGCGGGACCCATCTTTGCGTCGCTCTGGCAAGAACAATATCTTTATCAAAAACCTGGACAGAACCATCGACAACCGCACCCTGCACGACACCTTCACAACGTTTGGGGCAATCCTATCCTGCAAAGTTGCCCAGGATGAGAGCGGCACCTCGCGCGGTTATGGCTTCGTCCATTTCGAGACTGAGGAAGCTGCCAGAACTGCCATTGATCGTGTGGATGGCATGCTGCTCAATGACCGCAAAGTGTAGGTTGTGTTAGTGGCTTGAGATGTTTGTTTTCCCCGCGGTAACATTTGAATACTCTTGTGGTGGTCACTCGACGTTTGCGTCATATTGGTGTAAATGAGATGAACGAATGTTAGGGGAAAGATTGGCGATTCACACTTATGGGTTGTGTGTTGGTGTAATTGTCACTATATGCCACACTGTGCCGTGGCTTTTGCCACACTCTGTTTCCTGGGTGTTGGCACACCATTCAATTTTTCTCTAGATTCTTTGCAAATTTATTATAATAGGTCGTCGAAGTCTGACGTCACTGCTTCTTGGAACGCGTAGTTACTTGGCCAAGTGGTGACAAACAAAAGTCGCGTCACCTGCACTTGTCAAGTTTCCAGTGGCAGCAGCATGCAGTGAACACAGCTACAGCATTTTGATTGAGGAGCGCGCGAGCGAGGATATTTATTTCAAATAAACGGCTACTTGTCACCGAGTTTGTAGTTTTCGCTTTGTAGAGAAGGAGAAGCCATAGCTGATTTTTTGCTTGGCCACTGTGCCTGTACTGTCGTTCGGCTTTACATTTAGTTGCCGACCAAGAAGCAATGATGGGTGTCTTGCAGCGATCTCTGATTTCTTTCGGTTCTCAGACCAACAAACTCTGGGCTCGTTTCCTTGTCCAGCGGCAAGCGAAAATCAGAACTCCCCTTTCTCAGGTGCTGATGAACACTCAGCAGGAAAACACTGCACGATAACTTGAGAGCGAAGGAGAAACTTCTTGAAGTCAAACAAAATTTGAACTCACGATCTTGTACGTGAAATAGGAGAAGGACAAAATCAGTGTTAAGTCAAAGTGATGCTGTAACCGTGGGAAACACGACAAGTGCAGGCGACGCGGACTTTTGTTTGTCACCACTTGGCCTTGTAGCTATGTGTAGCTACGAGTTTTCAGGCGACTTCGGCACTTCGACAGCCTATTGCTCTGTGTGCTAGTCAAACCATGTTTAGTGGAGCCGTATTCGACTTTGTCGAGAAGGGATTTTTGGGAATAGGTGTGTACTGTAGTGTCTTAGCATCAACAGAGTTATGACCTTTTGTATCAGTAGAGTAGATAACACACAGAGTGTGCACGACTATTTTATCAAGTGTAGATAACACACAGAGTGTGCAACTCGCAGATGGGTTGGCCCAGGGCGGAATTTTTTGTTGACGTAATCTTTTCGACGACGCACGCGCATGCGAGTCTTTAGGAAAGTTTCCCTCGTGCACTTGGCCGGGCTTTACACTACAAGGTCGGTGCCCAGCACATGCTCTCACACTGCTCTGCGGCAAAATGCGCGTTTCTCTGAAAAAAGGTGACGTCAACAAAACTCCGCCGTGGGCGGGGGTATCTGCAGATTGTGCAGGAGAGATCCGGAGTTGCACACTCTTGTTTGTCTACTCTTGATTTTATGTATCTGGGCTTTCTGCGTGCTAGTTTGTACGTGAAGTGTGTAGGTTACCATGAGGGCTGCGTCCCATAGGAAGCACGTGAGTTTCGAAGAAATGTTGAACGGTCGCTGCTTGGATGACGACTACACCATAGCTAAGTTGCAGGGCATCAACAAACGGTCTACATCTTTACATCACACAACTTGTGACACAAGTGAGGTGTTGTATGACACTGTACCAACTAGTCCTGTTCTTTCTTCGTGTGCCTTCAGGTTCGTCGGCCCGTTTGTGCCTCGCAAGGAGCGCATGAAGAGCCGTGACAATACCACCTTCACCAATGTATACATCAAAAATTTTGACGACGGGCTCACCGACGAAGGCCTACGCGAGCTCTTCTCTCAGTATGGTACCATCACAAGCTGCAAGGTCATGCGGAAAGAGGATGGTTCTTCGAAGGGGTTCGGCTTCTGCGCATTCGAGGATGCTTCACATGCTGATGCAGCTGTGAAAGATCTTCACGAGAAGGATCTGGGTGGAAACAAGGTCCTGTATGTCTCCAGAGCCCAGAAACGATCTGAGCGCGACCATGAGCTGCAAAAGCTTTTCCACCAGAAGAAAGCCGAGCGCCAGAAGACGTATCAAGGTGTCAACCTCTACATCAAGAACCTTGAAGAAGACATCAATGATGAGCAGCTACGACGGGAGTTCTCCGCCTATGGAAGTATCTCTTCTGCCAAGGTGAGAATCTAAAGCCTTCGGAGCATGGGCTATCGTGCAAGTGCATCTGTAGTCACGGTTGGTACTTTGAACATACATTGTACATAATCTGTATACACAAATAGCACACGGTGTATTGTTCATGGTAAGCTCTGTGCAGTGTGAAGAAAAGTAACGGTGTTGGGTGACCTGGCCTAGGGAGCCTGCGGTCAAATTCTGATCTTTGGGGCAGGAGGTATCTTGTCCTTAAGGTATCTTGTCCTTAAAGGGGAAGTATACCCTAAAATCAAATTTTCACCAGTTGTAGTCTTCTGGGTGCTGAGTCGAATGGTCTTGGTCCGAGGAAGCTGCGACGCTCCCTTCCTACTTGAATCCCAATCGAACTCGCGCACTTCCACCGAAACTGGGTGACTGCGCCCTACTAGATGGGGATTTGTATGCAAAATGTCACTAAAAGCGCCATTTCGTTCTTATAAAAGCACGGATGACCGCGATTGGCCCATATGTTGTAGTCTTTTGGACGCTGAGTCGACTGGTTTTGGTCCAAAAAGGCTGCGATGCAGCGTTCCTCCTTTATTCCCAATCGAACATGGTTGAACAAGCGGTCACGTGCTCCTGGGTGCCCAAATCACCTGGTCACCGCGCCAGCAGGCGACAACTTTCACACCAAGGTTCAACTCGAGTTCAACTCGAGTGACAGGACTGCACCCAAAAAAGGTCAAACAGGCTAGTAAGTTGTACCCTGCAGGCACGGTGACCAGGTGACTGGTGTACGCAGGAGCACGTGACCGCTTCTTCAACCATGTTCGATTGGGAATAAAGGAGGAACGCTGCATCGCAGCCTTTTCGGACCAAAACCAGTCGACTCAGCGTCCAAAAGACTACAACATATGGGCCAATCGCGGTCATCCGTGCTTTTATAAGAACGAAATGGCGCTTTTAGTGACATTTTGCATACAAATCCCCATCTAGTAGGGCGCAGTCACCCAGTTTCGGTGGAAGTGCGGGAGTTCGATTGGGATTCAAGTAGGAAGGGAGCGTCTCAGCTTCCTCGGACCAAGACCATTCGACTCAGCACCCCGAAGACTACAACTGGTGAAAATTTGATTTTAGGGTATACTTCCCCTTTAAAAGGGCACTCCGGCTTCATTTTCGACGCCGAGTTTTCAATGCCAAGACGAAGGTTGGTGAAAAAGAAGACCCCTCGAACAAGAACGAGTCTCCAGAAGCGATCGAGTCGAGCAGGAAGACGACTTTTGAATTTCGCCGAGCGAGCGCTGATGACGTAATGAGGGATTAGCTTGCCAGTGGAAATGCATCTGCGCACATACATTTCACATACTTTTTGGCCAATTTTCAATCGAAGAGGAGGTTGTTTTCTATGTTCCCTCAACGTCGTGAGCGATCTCGTCTTCCATACCCTTCCAGGTACCCTGAAGGTCCTCCAGAGGAGAATTTATCTCCAGCAAAGCGTTGTTGATCCGCTAAATTCGTCTCGAGACATATTCACCCAGTGCAGTGCTGATAAAATGTAGAATATTGAATCTGTGATAATTGTCGACGATGGAGAGAGAGGTTGATAGCCGCTGTCGCAGGGAGAGTGAAGCTGCTGGAAGTAACGACGGGGAGCTTGTTAGCATCACATGAGCATCCAGACTTCAAAGCAGCTTGACGGAATCGGGGAGTACTGACTATTTTTCTCGCCCTCAGTTTAGTGAATTTTATGACCACAGAAATTATCGATCAGGATCCCTTCTACAAGATGTGTAGTGTAGTACAGATGATTTCTGAACTTGGCGATATGGAGACGGACCAGTAGACCTACCAACAACGTGTGCCTGCAGGAAATTCACCCAAGGCTATTGCTATCCTCTTCAGTGGCTGTTTTTTTTTAGTAAAAATATGTTCACTTCTCTCAACATACTCCTGCAAGGCAGCAAGAAGGTGCGCTATGCCACAATCTTCGCCCAGCTGCAGATGAAGCATGGTCAAGTCATGGCAGTACATATACTTGAAACAGATGAGAAATTGAAGTTCATTTGTGATGGGAAGTTTGACAGCCCCAGTGACCGAATCAAGCCGTCTTTTGCCGTGGCACAAATTGCTGAAGAATCCGAGATGGTCTTGGAATTATGCACATGGATACTACCAGAAATAATGGTGGCATGAACCATTGTGGAATGGGACAGCTCACGGAGAATACTGGATAGCTAATGTATCTCTAGGTGATTGTAAATCCTGTTCTGGCTGATAGCTTCAGCCTGCTGCGCCCGTCCATGTACAATGATGGTAACATGCATTTCTGTTTTCTACATATTTGCCGGCTACTATACTGTGGTATTACAGTTGCAGGTCCCTTATATAGAAATATGTTCACCCCCCCCCCCCCCCATACATACCCACATTATAATATGAACAACAATTTCACTGTTGGACTCGCCGGCGGCTAGAGAGCAAAGGATTAATTTATAGCAAAGAAAAGGACCAGGGAACTACAAGTTACGCTATAATGTCCACGAACAATTTCACTGTATTTGAAATAATTTTGTTTGATACCCTGAGAACTCTGAACCTTTGCAGCACTGTGGATTATGTGGGGAACACATTGGTCAAATAATTATAGCACTGGATTGTTGAGATTATGAGCACATTCCAATCAGCACTCTACATATTTATAAGCGGTGGCAATCGTTAGGAATAGGTCGGGAGTTGTCAGAGTGCTCTAGTATTATGAGAGAATGTTTTGTTTGTCTAATCGACGGCTCGTTTGAAGCCAGAGTTGTTTGAACTTGTTTCAGTCGACTTGATTCTAGACAGTAGTCGAAGGAGTACTATGAAGTATACACCAGACGTAGTCCGTAAGGTATCTCGTGAGAGTTCTGTCGGTACACATCGGGTATCAGCTTGCAAAGATGGCTCCTCTCTGTTTCTTGAAAGCCTGTCTAGTTGGACTGTGGCTCCAGCGATTCCCTTCTCAGAGCAGATACCATACCCAATACGGTCAATGCATATTGGACAGACCTGTGTGCACAACAGAAATAGTGGAGAGAAATCTCTCAGCTCATGAACACATCAGTGAAGTTTGAACTGCCGTTGTTTATTGCCATCAGTATAAACCTATTGACTATAAGAATAATGTGCAAAAACCCTCTATAATTACAGCTGGGGCCATGGAATTACAAAGCATCTAACTTAGGGAACTGCCAATTCTGGTCTGAGTTGCGTTCGAGGCCTGCAATTCATGATGGCTATCGTATGTTGCATTGACCAGAGATCATATAAAACCTCCAAATGCCACATTGAAACACGCACCACTTTCGAGTACTTTGGTATCCCCCACCAAATGGGCTTTCGTTCCCGGGGTGACAGGCGTCACCATTCGTTATGCCTGGATCAGATTTCATTGACCCCAACTGTCATGAAGAATCATTTTTACTTTGACTGGATTTCAGTACAAGTTGTAGAACTGCAGAATCAATTTTGTTGTATTTGGGCAACCATTTCTCTACAAACGCTCTATTCGGAAATATAATTTTTTTACAAAATGCATATCCAAATTCCACATCTACCCAAATCGGAATACTTGATCAGCACTACACGGAACGTTTAGAAAACGCCAGGGAATAGGAATTTGCTAACGAGAACTCCAGGCCAGGGTACTAGCATACG